CAATGATTTGGAAAGTGCCCAATGCGTATTTTGTCAAATTTGACTTTTTTTTCTGTGTTACGGACGAAATTTTCGGCCTTTGAGAATGCTTACCCCAGAAATTATTTACCCTCTTGTTGTAATACTATCCAATAGCTATTCATTAGGGCAGCGTCTATAATCCCTAATTATAAAGAACAACCGAGAAAATAGGTTGGAAAATGGGTGTCGCCAATGCGTACTTTATCGAAATAGGCTTTATTTCCATGTTTCGGACGAAATTTTCGGCCTTTAAGAATGCTTAACCCAGAAATTATTTACCCTCCCGCTGTAGTTCTATCCAATAGCTATTCATTAGAGCAGAGTCTATAACCCCTAGCCATACAGAACTGCCGAGGCAATGGGTTGGAAATTGCTCAATACGTATTTTATCAAATTTGACTTTTTTCCGTGTTACGGACGATTTTTTCGGCCTTTAAGAATGCTTACCCCAGAAATTCTTTACCCTCACGTTGTAGTACTATCTAATAGCTATTGATTATGGCAGCGTCTATAATCCCTAGCTATAAAAAACAACCGAGACAATGGGTACGAAAGTGGGTGTCTCCAATGCGTACTTTATCGAATAAGGCTTTATTTCCATGTTTCGGACGAAGTTTCCGGCCTTTAAGAATGCTTAACCCAGAAATTCTTTACCCTCCCGCTGTAGTTCTATCCAATAGCTATTCATTAGAGCAGAGTCTATAACCCCTAGCCATACAGAACTGCCGAGGCAATGGGTTGGAAATTGCCCAATGCGTATTGTATCGAAATAGGCTTTATTTCCGTGTTACGGACGAAATTTTCGGCCTTTAAGAATGCCTTCCCCAGAAATTCTATACCATCACGTTGTAGTTCTATCTAATAGCTATTGATTATGGCAGCGTCTATAATCCCTAGCCATAAAAAACAACCGAGACAATGGGTTGGAAAGTGGGTGTCGCCAATGCGTACTTTATCGAATTAGGCTTTATTTCCATGTTTCGGACGAAATTTTCGGCCTTTAAGAATGCTTAACCCAGAAATTCTTTACCCTCCCGCTGTAGTTCTATCCAATAGCTATTCATTAGAGCAGAGTCTTTAACCCCTAGCCATACAGAAATGCCGAGGCAATGGGTTGGAAATTGCCCAATGCGTATTTTATCAAATTTGACTTTTTTCCGTGTTACGGACGAAATTTTCGGCCTTTAAGAATGCTTACCCCAGAAAATTCTTTACCCTCACGTTGTAGTACTATCTAATAGCTATTGATTATGGCAGCCTCTATAATCACTAGCCATAAAGAACAACCGAGACAATGGGTTGGATAGTGGGTGTCGCCAATGCGTATTTTATCGAATTAGGTTTTTTTCCCCGTGTTGCGGACGAAGTTTCCGGCCTTTAAGAATGCTTAACCCAGAAATTCTTTACCGTCCCGCCGTATTACTATCCATTATCTATTCATTAGAGCAGAGTCTATAATCCCTAGCCATACAGAACTGCCGAGGCAATGGGTTGGAAAGTGGGTGATCCAGTTTCAAATAGAAGTTGTATTGTCGGTATACCATGAAAAATTTCATTTACATGAACATTCTATATTTTTAGTCGATCGTTAAGATGAGTTTTGAAAATCGCAAATATGGGTTTAACATGCGTTAATATGAATCACATCCTGGACCCAAACAGATAATACTTTGTTTGAATTGTCATCATGGTTTTTTTTTATTGTAAATACTAATTAGAAAACCGTAAATATTAGTTAGAAATCTGCAAACTAAAGTTAGAATTTTGTTAATGGGATATAAAAATCTTGTTTTCGAACAAAAAAGTCAAAAACTATGATTTTAAAGAAAAATGAAATTGTCGCTCAAGTAGTTTTCCAAACGAAATTGCAGGATGACGAATTGCAGGACAGCTTTTAATAAAAAGAATTGCTGGATAGCTTGACACTAGTGAAACAATTGTGTAGTTTACCTTCAAACTGTTTATTTTTTTCATACATGTATATTGATTAAATCAGAACTTACATGAATGTGTACAGTAACTTAAATGACCTTCAAACTGGACACTGGACGAGTCCGTATTATTTTTTATCAAATGAAACTAAAGGTATGAAAGGTAAGAATTGCCACTTCTTATATTTTAACAAAATTGTCCACATATAGAGAAGATAAAATATTTTTTAATATCTTATTCGCTAGAAAAAAGAGAAAGTTTACAAATCAGGCGTTTTATTCCATTAAACAAGTCATTTTTCGAAGAGAAATGCCGAAATACATTTTACGCCAGGTAAAGTTATTGTTTATCTTAACAACAAAAAATTACAATTAATCCTAAATAAAAGTAGTCAGTTAATACAGTCAAAATACGCCCAATATGCCTATGTTTGGACATCAAAATACAATAGGATCGTTTTAAGGTCAATTTCGTCTACCTCACAAAATCTTGTAAGGCACTATAAATCAATGGTTTTTTATAAAAAAAACATTTTGCTGATCAAAGTTTTAATACAAAATGTTTTTTGATTTCTCTGAAAATCTTAATGTCTTAACTGCTTACCACGAAAGTTCTCTTTACTGACTTCAATAGTTCTCTTTAGTTTGTCAGTTGGGCGAGATAATTAAGGAAATCAAATTTATTTTTGTTTTGTTTAGGAACACCGAACAAAATTATATTATCAGAAATTTGAATCAACTATAAAATACATTTTTAATGTTCATTGCACTTAGAAATGTCCCATTTGAAAATAAAGGTTACTGATATATATACGCAAATACTAGGTTGATTTGTTTTATTTCAAACAAACAACATAGATTGCAATCAGTCACGCTAAAAGACATATAATTATTGTTATACACTCTTATTTGTATTAGGGTCATTATAATTAAAATTACAAACCACGATTAGTTTAAAAAGTATATATATTTATAGGTCAGTTTTCTTTACTATCTCAGTTTGGCGTGATAATTAAGGAAAGCAATCTATCTGAGAGAAAGTTGAGCGTATTAATGGCTATCCTATCCTGGTAAGCAGTTTAGACATTTAGATTTTCAGAGAAATCAAAAAACATTTTGATTAGACCATTTGTCACTCCATTTTAATCAGCAGAACTCATGTAAACTATTATCAGTTTTGTTTTTACAGCAAATATCTATACAGGAGGGTTTCTTATATGCTCATCTAATGATCTATTATAGTGTAAGTTTCATAATCATAGAAATACAGTCGTAGAGATACTTAAGAATCACTACAAATGCATACACACATAAGTCAATTAATATCAAATGCTGCCGAAGTATATTCATAAATTTGAATGATACGTCACATATCTGCATGTTTATAAATAATGTTCATCACCATTAATATACATGCTTGATGTTGTTATTCCTTGTTTGTATGGTAGTTAGATTTCGGAGAAGCTGGTTTTTGTGATTGATATGGTCTAGTGTATTGTCCAGTATTTTAGATTTTTTTTTTCTTTTTTATCAATTATTTTCAAAGGATCAACCGGTTCTTGCTTTTGTTTGGGACATTTTATTCATTTGATATATCTTTATTATTCGTCAGAACAAAGTAATCCTTTCAATCCTTTTATAACTATATATTCAGACACGAGATTGATGCACAGGTTTTGTCTGTATGAAAACAAGACTTTAAAAGTTAAGAGATGTTTTTTAATGTAAAAGCATTCTTTTATCTAAACACCCATCGAGAGCAAAAGTTTACAAAATTGTTTTACTCACATAGCTTTCTAATCGCTACTGGTCATCTTCAGAGGATTGACTTTTATATTTAGTCTTAGATGCATGATTTTTTTTATTAGTTGTTAGTGGCTTAGAACTAGCTGTCAGTAATTGCGAGTACTCTCAGATCTGTACTTAGTGTCTTTTTGTTGTTTGGGTGTACAAGTACCCGGCCACGCCCACTTGTATTTGTAGTATTTGTATTTTTATCCATCTGATGAGTTAAGCCTCTTTCAACTGATTTTTATAGTTCGTTCTTATGTTGTACTGTTACACCACTGTCCCAGGTAAGGGGGAGGGTTGGGATCCCGCTAACATGTTTAACCCCGCCCCATTATGTATGTATGTGCCTGTCCCAAGTCAGGAGCCTGTAATTCAGTGGTTGTCGTTTGTTTATATGTTACATATTTGTTTTTCGTTCATTTTTTGTACATAAATAAGGCCGTTACTTTTCTCGTTTGAATTGTTTTACATTGTCATTTCGGGGCCTTTTATAGCTGACTGTGCGGTATGGGCTTTGTTGAAGGCCGTACGGTGACCTATAGTTGTTAATTTCTGTGTCATTTGGTCTCTTGTGGAGAGTTGTCTCATTGGCAATCATACCACATCTTCTTTTTTATTTTTACATTTGTTTTCCGTAAAAAGTGTTTTTGAACATTCGACACTTTCTAAAAAGAAGACTTTCTAAAAAGGATAGTTCTTATGTCTTTCTTATTGCCACTGGTCTTTTCCAGAGGATTGACACAAGTTTGAGTTATATTAAAAGATTGGTAAAAACATAACACCCATAAAATGTGTAATTTCAATGACAAATCATAAAGATATATTCTAAATACGTTTGTATTAGTTTAATTATTAAGACATACATATAATTAACCAAACTGGTGGTTTTTTTTTTTTTTACAGAATTCAAGAATCAAGGAAAAAGTTCATGAATTATTTAAGCATGTTGAGATATTTTTTCTTGAAACACCAAACAAATTCTATTATCGGGAATGTGGATCAGCTACAAAATGCATTGCTCATGTTAGTTGCACTTAAAAAGATCCCATGTCAAAAAGGACTACTGATCTATATATGTAACTATTAAAATTATTTTCATATGTAGTTATTAGGTTAACTTGTTTGGTTTCAAACAAACAACATAGATTTGTCACGCTGAAGGATATACACCCACCTTTGTATTTGGGTCATTACAATTAAAATAACTCATCACGATTATTTAAAAAACTTATATATTTATAGCTCAGTTCTCATTACTAACTTCAATAGTTCTCTTTACTGACTTCGATCTTCTCTTTACTTTGTCAGTTTGGCGATGTAATTAAGTCAAACAAACTATCTGAGAGACGTTGAACGTAGTAATGGTTCTCCTATCATGGTAAGCAGTTTCGACAATTGTCGCTCCCTTCAATCAGCACAACTCATGAAAACCGTTGATTTATTAGTTTTGGTTTGTTTACAGCACATATCTATACAGAAAACAAAGCACTGGAAAATAATAAGCAGACGTTTCAGTTGACTCCTCTATTATGTTGCTATAAGTAATTAATACTTATCAATATTTTTGCGTTCGACGAGTTTTCTGGACTAACATGTATCAGTAGCTTTCAAACCGAAAAAAGGTGAGAGTCAAGGGTGTATTATTGTTTAAATTCTTGAGAATATATTTGTTACAAAGGGAAAAATTGTTTGGTTCGTTATTGATAATCAAAAGTAAAGAGAATACCTAGAGACTGTTATTTAATGCATAATAACTTGCTTGGAAAGTATAAATCAAATGATATATACTAGTTACAAAAATTCCTAGTAATCTATTCATTGTTTCAAGTATTCTGACAAATGAATGCATGATCTTTAATCAAAATGATGTTTAATGTTTGATGGATAGTTATTACGATATAATATGATAGATTTCAGTCTAATAACCATATACAGTTATGAATTTGATCATTGTGAAATGACAAAAGGGTCTCCAAGTGTTCTAGGATATATCGTGTCAATCAGTTTACTAACATATTTTTTCACCGAGAATATAACGATGTCTTATTCAATACTCTATACCTTTGATCTTTATTTTAGCCTATTTAACTTTTTGCATTCGAACGTCACTGATGAGTCTTTAGTAGACAAATCGCGCGTCTGGCGTACAAAATTTTAATCCTGGTATCTTTGATTTATTATCAGACGAAATCAGTCAAAGTTTTATTAGTTTTGTTTTTTACATTGATAATTTACTCGCAAATGTATAGGTTTGTCTTTCAAAATATCTCACCTCTCTAGTCCAATTTCTTTTTTTTTAATTTGATAACTTTAAAATATGTTTTTGCATTTCAGATTTTAAAAAGCAATATGATTGTAAATGGATTGATGGCTCGAAACTTTTTCCGTGTGTTTTTAATGCTTTTAGTCTGGTGTGGTATTTTAACAACATTGAATATACTACTAATGTTTCGAGGTAAATTATATTTGTTTAACATATCCTTATATCAAAGAAAAGAATTCATTGATGTATATACCAATCAAAATTGTAACCGTCATTTTTACACATGAATTCCTTGCTAGTTTTTATTAAGTTGTAGGGTATGTTTATTTCTTAGTTGATTCAACCTTTCAACTCCCTCGGGTAAGTTGACCTTATATGAATTTGGCTATTGTGGTGCCTAATGGTATTATAGTTTCTCATGTTTTCAGTTATTCATACATCCAGACATTTCAAAACTTTGAGTTTAAGTGTTACTGATAAAGGTAAATTTAGAAATGAGCTTCGGACGCATGATATTGTTAAAAAGTAAAATATCAAAAATACTGTACTCCAAGGAAAATTCAAAACGGAAAGTCCCTTGTCAAATGGCAAAATCAAACGCTCAAAAACATTTGAACGATTGGAAAACAACTGTCATATTACTCTCTTGATACAGGCATTTCCTTATGTAGAAAATGGTGGATTAAATCTAGTTTTATAGCTAGCTAAACCTCTCACTTGTATGACAGTCGCATAAAATTCAATTGTATTGACAACAATGTGTGAGCAAACCAAACAGACATAATCGGTTGAAATGGTAAAAAATTGTGGTACAGCAGTCAACATTGTGTTATAATCTTAATCATTATAAAATGTTTTCTTCATTGTTGATAATCATTACGTGGTTTGTTAATGCTGAGACCTTTTATATGGGAAAATATTAGGAATTTCCACTTATCAGACATTATATTACCGAACGTTTGGGAAAAAAAGTTTCAACAGATACATCTCTATTTGAAGTGTAGAAGTAACTCGCTGCATTTTTATTTGAAAATATACGTATAAAAAATACTAACTGTTTTGGTATATTAGATGCCTCCGAAGCGTTTTTCTACCGACAGAGGGCACACACATGTCATAAATAAACCATAGAATATATGTTTTTGCTTGTGTGACTGCCGCGGCACTTTTTTATCTTTGCCAATCAAATTATCAAGGACATTTTACATGTTCAGCCTTAAACGAATAACGTAGTGAAGATTCAAACCTGCCGTATCAAATGATATATTTGGTCGAGCATGGTAAATATATAAAATGTCTTTACGCCTTCGATTTCGTGGCGTCATTGCCGTTGCTGAAAATGTCAATTTTCTAGTTGAAAAAAATCACATGACCAGAATAATAACATCGATACCATTATGAGACTTGCTCTCCGGTTGATAAAATGTAAATTGAAAATGAAAACTAAAGTTAAATAACAAGAACGATAAATAAGGAAAAGAAGGAAAAGAAGAAAAAGAAGAAAAACAAATCATAAGGAAAGGAAAATCATTGTCCACGAATATTGAAAAAAAAAACCCCTTAAAATACCACTAAAGGTAGTATATGAACTAAAATGTATTTATATGAAGTTCTACTGGTGATTTCCATTTCATCGAACAGAAGTTTCAAATTCTTATGTAAACCGCTCGATAAATTTGCTACATGCATTATGACACATTTCAGCTGTGGCAATTAAGAGAACAAGTGTGTTTGTTTATAAGCTAATGTTCCACTTTGAGATTTAGAATAACTGGAAATCACAAATTGAGTTCGGTATTTTTATTATACTTTTTTTTATTCTTCTAGATTTCCACTAAATAAATCATAAACGTTGCATACATTTTTACATCCTTTACTTTTTCTTGGTAATTAGTACTCCCGGTGACGGTAACTTCACATGCAATGTGCATCGAGCTTTATGGAATATATGGGTCATGGATCGATGTCCACGGATATGTTTCACTTTTGTTAACCACTATTCCGTCCTCTGTTTCTTGATCTTGACAAAACCGCTTCACTCGATTTATAAAATTACGAGTGTAGCAATCTCGACTTACACCAATAAATCGGTATAAATAATTGATGTAAACTCTTTTGAATGTTAGTAGATTCAGTTTGCGATTTACATTTCAACCTCTTAACAGTGCACATCAATGTTAGTTACCGCCTACGAAGAGAGCAAATTCAATCCTATAACGTTGTAATCCACGTTAAATCATAAACGTTGCATACATTTTTGCATCCTTTGCTTTTTCTTGGTAATTAGTACTCCCTGTGACGGTAACTTCACATGCAATGTGAAACGAATGCGACATTTTAACTTGCTATGAGTAAAACTGCGGAAACCACCAGAGGACAAGGAACTGCTTACCCCTCCACAGCACCCGCGTTTTCGCCGGTTATAGGTGAGTTTCGTATTGCTAACTCTTTACTTTTCTGTATAATGCTTCTATATTGTTAACATTCGTTTCCTCGGGGTTTTTTGCCTAGGTATTGTCTGTTTTGGTGGATTTGTATTGCACTCTTTGTATCTCCTCTCTTTTTAAGTTTCAATAGCTGCACGGAATATCGCTCTTAAACGTCCTTAAGTCTTAGAGTCCGAGGGTGCAATTGCACGACAATATAATGTCAAATGGAACACAATCTCGCTACTTTCGCAGTGGTCCCATAAATCTTAATCTGCAAGGGACAGGCAAAATACTGCTGGTTCACTCAACACAACGGCAGTCCAGGATTGATACATCAGGGTTTTCCAACTGCACAACAGACAATGTACTGCGACAAAACAGCATGAAATATGCATGATGTTTTTCAATTTTACACTAATTTGAAAGTTGAAAGGGATTTTTCAATAAACGTGGATTACAACGTTATAGGATTGAATTTGTTCTCTTCGTAGGCGGTAACTAACATTGATGTGCACTGTTAAGAGGTTGAAATGTAAATCGCAAACTGAATCTACTAACATTCAAAATAGTTTACATCAATTATTTATACCGATTTATTGGTGTAAGTCGAGATTGCTACACTCGTAATTTTGTAAATCGAGAGAACATTTGCCCGTAACAGCAATAGAATTTGACATAATAGGCAGAGGCAGGGTTATGCTAATAAGGGGCTTTTATTTCAAGTAAAACGAACACTTGATTCATATCTCAGACTCATTTACTACTTTATGGTATCGTGATGAAATTTAAATTTGTTTGCCAGGTATCAGTTCAGCATGAAAACGGCAATTTGCATACAGTAGAATATTAAAATAAAAACATTTTTTGCATTGTTTCTTAAAATATGCATTGTTCTAATTTAATGGAAAATTCAAATTTTCAAAGAACTTTACCACTTGTCACACAATTTGCTTTCTTAACTTGGCCTATAACATATGTTTTTTAATCTTTTTTAGGTGAACAAGGTGTGAAGGAGTATTTAACGTGGTATCACAATCATTCTAAATTCACCAAACACGACTCCTATCTCGTATTGAATTATCAACATCATACAACAGAGGTGAGGAGCACATAACTGAACATAGTAAATTTGCTGTAATCGTCTGATTTTGATTGAATGAGCACTAATGAAGTATGAATTAAAATATATATATTGACAATTAATGCACCCCCACCCAGTTAGTCACGGCTGATATGCTTAAAACTACTTAAGTTAAGATTTTTTTCCGAACGGACGGTTTTTTCTACATGTCCTACGATAAAAGAGAGGCGAAAGATACCAGAGGGACATTCAAACTCATAAGGCGAAAATAAACTGACAACGTCATGGCTAAAAAAGAAAAAGACCGACAAATAAACAATAGTACACAAAACAAAGCATAGACAACTAAAGACTGAGCAACACGAACCACTCCAAAAACTGGTGGAGATATCAGGTGCTCCCGAAGGGTAAGCAGATCCTGCTTCACATGTGGCACTCGTCGTGTTACTTATGTTAGTACAAACCCGGTAATAAGTCTAATTCGGTAGGTCACATTCGGAAAGAGGGAACGGAGCGGGATCGTAGTGACGACATTAGGAACATATCCGCTATCATTCGTGAAACGGATATACCATAACGGTCAACCAACTCGTGATGGTGTCCGTAAAACTTACGAAGGGATGATTTCAACTTCACCACTTGGAACTCTTGGTGTAATAGCTTCCTTGTGAGCAGCAACCCTCTATCGAGGAAATCATGATAGGAAATACAAGCCCTGGAATATCGTATCAACGGGGAGATATATACTCCGTATGCAGGCGCTACTGGAATGTTGCTACATAGAAATGGAAAGTTCACAATTGGGAAGCTGAAATCATCTATTTTGTTGTAAAGTTTTTATTTCAACCGACCCTCATTGTCAATTTCTAGATGTAAGTCAAGATATGAGGCAGACTTAACTGTATCTGTTGTATCCTTTATCTTAAGTTCAATGGGATAGATGCGTTCAACATAGTCACCAAATTTTGAATTATTTAGTGAAAGAACATCATCTATATAGCGGAAAGTAAAAAAAAAAGTTAAAGGATACTGCTAACTTCACATTGTAATACATTTATATGATAATGAAATGCTTGATTGACTGATAAGTATATATTTCACCACACTGTATGATAGATTCCGAAACATGCTTATTACTCAAAACGGGGAAAACAAAAAGCAAAATAAGGTTTTTTATATAAAAAAAATATTTGTATGGCAAAATAGTCCTTCTAGTCATTATAATATTCAATTTGGTAATAATATTATACTAGTATTCGACAACGCTCTCAAATAAAGGCAACAGTGGTATACTGCTGTTCAAAAGTCATAAATCGATTGAAAGAAAACGATCAAAGACTATTTTCATTTTCTTTTTAGACAGATATTACAAAGAGGTCTTGGAAAGATGGTTACCATTTCCCAAAAGATCTTTGCGATGCAGAAAGTCTTAATGAAACTAAAATGGATGCCGTTTTTAAGAACAGTATAATGCCTCTATTCAGCAAGCAACTTGCTTATTGTAGAGTTTATAAGGGAGGATCAACATTTTGGAAGCGCCTTCTCGCCTATTTACAAAGAAACATTAAATTATCCCCATTTCGTATAAAACCACAGGATGAACAGAGCAAATATCGTGTTTCGTGTGCAAAGCATAGTTTGAATGGAACGTATAACATATTAACAGAAACCAGAAGTTTCATGTTCACTAGAAATCCTTATTCACGAATTTTGTCAGCGTACATTGATAAATTATATTCACCTAATCCGTATTTTTGGAAAACACTAGGTGTCATAATTATGAAAACAGTTGGTAAAAACCCCTCGTGTGGTAGTGCTGTTACTTTCAGAGACCTTGTGGAATACATCATTCAAACCCCAATAGAAAAATTAGACGATCATTTTATACCCATCCATTCCATCTGTAGACCATGTCAAGTCAATTATCATTATATTGGCAAAATGGAAAATTTTCTAAATGATACAGTCAATATTTTTGCTAAATTTCAAATAAACTCAAGCCCTTACATTACACAAAATTTTAGCGATGAGTATAAATATGATGCCATTTATGATACAGTTCAAGCTTTTATTGCTTTTCGACACGAGTCTAAAAAATGCATGAATCCGTATACTGGTTTGCAACGAATTTGGAGGAAGCTACAGTATAGGGGGATAATTTCTGAGAATAAATCTATCCCCTTAAATAAGAAAGAATCGCAACACATATTGTTATCAAAATTACTAACTATTATTTCGACCACACACCAAATATCCAAAAAGGACAATCTTTCAGTACAAAGACGGAAACTTTTTATACAAGCGTATAACACTATTCCTCTTACTTTAATGTACAAGTTGCAGAATGTGTATCATAATGACTTCAAATTATTTGGATATGATCCTTTTCCAAAATCGTTATTCGGAAATAGATCCAACATAATGACTGATGTGTTTCTAGTATAATACCGAAAGTGCTCGGTTACTTTTCGGTTTAAAACTTTACTTTAGACTGCAAACCATGATCTTTTTATAAAAGTTGATTACATGTTAAGTTCAACGAATACAATGTATTTGATAATGTAATGCTTCATTACCGCACAAATATACGTCTGGGTAAAAAAGTTTAGCAACATCTATTAGATTTTAAATTGAATCTAAAGTTGAGGAAATAAATATATTATGTTGAATGAATATTATACCTTATGGTTTATTTTCGTTGTTACAATATTTATCAATTATTATTTTAAAAAGTAAATTTTGTTATTCAAACATAGAATCAAAAATTTGTGTTGCTAAACATTATTTACTCAGTATATAAAGTGCGGATGCATTTGTCGATTAAAAATTACTGGTATCCAGCAAAGTGTCCCAGTTCAATCTTAATTTTGAATATGGATTAAAGTATATACAAAAGTTTCTGTAAATTGATTTAACGTTGTTTTAATTTAGTTTCAGTGAAATCTTATATCATATACATGTGTGTACCAACAAAATCTCTGAATCAAGAGGTTGAATAAGTCAAATAGAAATTCTTCAAAAACAAATTGGTGCGTCCAAAGTACTTTTCTTGATCTACCTTTAATCAGGAATGTTCAAAGCCACATTACGAAAGCCAATGGTGTACAAGTACCTATAGATATAAGAAGATGTTGTATGAGTGCCAATGAGACAACTCTCCATCCAAGTCAAAATTTATAAAAGTAAATCATTATAGGTCACAGTACGGTCTTCAACACGGAGCCTTGGCTCACACCGAACATTAAGCTATAAAGGGCCTCAAAAAATTACTAGTGTAAAACCATTCAAACGGGAAAACCAACGGTCTAATCTATATAAAAAACGAGAAACGAGAAACACTTATGAACCACATCAACAAACGACAACTACTGAACATCAGATTCCTCATATACGTATTAAGCTAGTTGGCCAAAATTTACCTTAAATCTTTTTAAAACAAATACTAAAAACTTGTTCAAAATGACTTTTTTGTCAATTAAATTGACATTTTATGTTGTTGGCTTTTTTTTTAATTTAAAAATATTTCAAGAGATTTGATCAGCTTTTGTTTTTCTTAAATCCTTTAAATTCAAGTTTGGTTTTAGGAGTCATGATGAAAACAAATACCAAATGCAAAGCTTATACAAATGTCTTCCACTGCAAAATGTTACATTAGATGTTACTCACAAGATAGAAAAGATGCTAAACTTATTCATTGCATTCTCAGTATCATTATCAAATTTTTCACTGATATTCCGAAGTATCCACACTTTTTTCTTGCATTAAATTCATCGTTCAAAGATGCTTTCAAATTTTATTTTTATCTCAATCATTTAAATTTCAGTTTGGTCTTGGGAGTCTATGCATGATAAAATCAAATATGCAACATTTTTGAAGAATGATATCAGTCAAGGTAATTTTCAAGTGTTTCTTCTGAGAGTTGTCCTTCGTTGTTAATGTTTTGTTATTTCCTTAGGTATCTATTTAATTTTTCAATGTAAAACGGTTTCCATATTTACCAACAAAACAACGTAACAAAATTTCGATTTTTTAATGGTATCTACGCCTTTAGTCATGATGAAAACAAATACCAAATGCAAAGCTTATACAAATGTCTTCCACTGCAAAATGTTACATTAGATGTTACTCACAAGATAGAAAAGATGCTAAACTTATTCATTGCATTCTCAGTATCATTATCAAATTTTTCACTGATATTCCGAAGTATCCACACTTTTTTCTTGCATTAAATTCATCGTTCAAAGATGCTTTCAAATTTTATTTTTATCTCAATCATTTAAATTTCAGTTTGGTCTTGGGAGTCTATGCATGATAAAATCAAATATGCAACATTTTTGAAGAATGATATCAGTCAAGGTAATTTTCAAGTGTTTCTTCTGAGAGTTGTCCTTCGTTGTTAATGTTTTGTTATTTCCTTAGGTATCTATTTAATTTTTCAATGTAAAACGGTTTCCATATTTACCAACAAAACAACGTAACAAAATTTCGATTTTTTAATGGTATCTACGCCTTTAGGCACTCTGCAGAATCATCCCCTGCGTAAGTCATTATAAAAGTTCACTAATCTGACAACACAAGTCTGTGTCCACACTTGTTACTTAAAAATCAAATAAGTATTTCACATGATAGTTTTTTTTTATTGTTATGCTATTGCACCTTTGATTGAGAAATTCAAACCCTGCAACATTTATATGTTCATGTCCCAAATCAGTGCAGAAGATGTCATTTTGTTATGTCTGACAAACTTTTTTTTATATTAATAGTTAAATCATGTCTTCTATTTTGAATGATTAGAAAAACAAAGGACACGGGCCATCCATCCATGGCACAATTCAGTACACACACAGCAAAAAACACACAAAAAACAAAGGATTGTACATTTTGTAAACCGGAGTCTTTTGAACCTGTCCATACCATGCAAACGGTATTGAATTAGCATATTGTAGAAGGTCGAACATTGACCTTCAGTTGTTAACATTCTTGTCATTTTGGTATTTTATGGAGAGTTGTTGTATTGGCAAAGATAAGTAGAATCATAAAACAATTAAAAACACACATTACAGAATACTTATGAATATCGACAAATTATAATTTTATGATTATGAGGAATTTATAAATTCACATTTGATTGATATCATAATTAAGATATGTATTCTTCAAGATTAGATCCTTATGAATAAAAGACAATATTTTTCACCCAGAACCGCTTCAAACAAATAACATCACACTTTTTAATGAACATGCATTCATATACTCTATCTTGCTAGCTGTTTTGAAAGCAGAAACTATCCATTTGTTAATCAATACAAGGATTGAAACGCGTCTCATTAAGCATTTGTATCCAGGTACGAGTCGTTGCAGTGTAAACGCTTATAGAATGAATTAGAATACCAGAACCATATACATTATATATCTGAAACACATACAGCTTATGTTGTTCATATTACTTTTTAAATGATGTTGTGACAGCTTAAATATGCGAAAAATCAAAACGGTAGATACGTCAATGAGACAGAAAACTAACAACACAAATAGCCAATCGACATACCGTTCATAGGTAACCTACAATAGAGATAGTGCTATTATATAAATACTATGGATTATCTACCCTAGGAATAGAATACCTTAGCTGTAAAAGCTTTGCAAAATAAAGGCAACAGTAGTATACCGCTGTTCGAAATTCATAAATCGATTGAGAAAAAAACAAATCCGGGTTACAAACTAAAACTGAGGGAAACACATCAAATATAAGAGGAGAACTACGACACAACAGAAACACAACATTAAAATGTAACACACACAGAAACGGACTATAATATAACAATGGCCAGTTTCCTGACTTGGTACAGGAAATTTTATGACCTTTTGGACTTTTGGATCCCTAATTGCTGACTTGGTACAGGACATTTTAAAACCTATTGGACTTTTGGATCCTTAATTCTCGTCAACTTCGTACTTTATTTGGCATTTTAAACTTTATTCAAGCGTCACTGACGAATCTTTTGTAGACAAAACGCGCGTCTGGCGTACAAATTTTAATCCTGTATCTATGATGAGTTTATTGATATAGCAAGAGTGTTGTATGCAATGTTAAATACAACAGACCACATCAGTAATCTCCACTCGACTCATCTGAAAAAGACATACAAAAACCACAACGAGCACCACGTGGTCCAGATAGCCTAACTTGGTCTATAAAATAAAATTGAGAATGGAAATGGGGAATATGTCAAAGAGAAAACAACCCGGCCAAAGAGCAAATAACAGACGAAGGCCACCAATGGGTCTTCAACGCAGCGAGAAAATCCCGCACCCGGAGATGGTCCTCAGCTGGCCCCTAAATAAAAATGTGTACTAGTTCAGTGAAAACGGACGTCATACTAAACTCCAAAACATATAAATGAACTAAAATTAAAAAAAACATACAAGACTAGCAAAGGCCAGAGGCTCCTGACTTGGGAAAGGCGCAAAAATGCGGCGGGGTTAAACATGTTTTGTGAGATCTCAACCCTCCCCCTATACCTCTAGCCAATGTAGAATAAAAAAACACACAGCGATACACACAGTAAAAAGAAGTCCGAGTCCGATGTCAGAATAGGTAACAAAAGAAACGAAGCAAAATGACAATGATACATAAATTAACAAAGGACTACTAGCAGTTACTGACATTCCAGCTCCAGACCTCAATTAAACTGATTGAAAGATTATGTCTTCATCATATGAAAATCAAGTACAATCCCTCTTGTTAGGGGTTTAGTATCATACCATCATAAAATATATGAGAAGAACATAACCCATGTCAACAACTGGTTTTAGAATAAATGTGTTTATTTCCGATGCAAAAACCCTATGAGTGAATCAATGTCAATACCAAAATATGCAATCCTTAATGACTTGAGAACAGTATCGTAATTATATCCCTTCCGAATAAGTCTGTTTAAAAGTTTGATTAGCTTTTGAGGTGAATGCCGACATTTTTGTGCTGTGTAAAGAATATTACCATAAAAGATTGGATGTGAAATACCTGAACGTATAAGATGTCTGCATGTTAATTTATATTTACGAATGATGTCCTATGCATACAATTTGAGAGGGTTAAACCAGATTGACGTGCTTGCAAAACACCCCTTTTGCCTATCTAGATCTACATGTCGTAAAACTATGCAATACAGACATTGAGACACCTGGATAGTGCATTTACCAACTATTAAACATTAAAGTCAGCTTATTATAAGATACTGGTACTCCAGTAAATCGCACAAGTTGTTATGTATACACAGTAATAGGACCATCGTCGTCATTTAACGTTTGTGACTGTCAAGTTGAAATCATACCTTTTTCGTCTACTTCGTTTTTGATTTTTTAGAAATTGTAATATGTAAAAAAGTCAGTGATATTATTTATATTATATCTTGGTATTGAATAATATCTACATTACAGGTAACGATATATCCTGTTTTAATTGTCTTCATGGGAGAGATATTATACATTGTGTTAATTGACTGAGAAAAACTCATGCATAGCTCTGGTTCCTTGACCGGGTTTTACTATATTTTGTTCCTTTACCGGGTTTTACTATATTTTTGTTCCTTTTTTTTTTTTTTTTTTGTCATCTGTTGAACGTTTGTTTCAGGTTATGGATGTTCAAATATTTTTTAATCTCGAGCATTTAGAACATTTTGTTTTAACCTGATGATACGAATAGCTAAATAAAATGTTTAGATCTATATATTTTAGTATATCACAGAGAGTTTTCATATCATATTCATTTTCATGATTAATAACCTATTCAAACTATGAATAGTTTTGTTCTTGCACTCTCAGAAGAGGATTTCTCAGCAAGGAGCAAGGCATTTTCTTCCTTATTCGACACTCTCAAGCGAGTTTATATTGAAAAAGTCGAGCATGTTTTTTGTTTAATAGTGTGGTGGCCTCTATACTTAACTATGCGTCTGAAATTTGGGAATTTCATCGAGCCAATGACAAAGAACTCGTTCATAATCTATCGTTTTGTATTAAAACTTGGTAAAAATGTACCAATCGCCTTTTTATGTGGTGAACTTGGTCATTTACCTATGTTCATTTTAAGAAAACATAGACTTATAAAGTTTTGGTTGCATATAACATATAATAATCCTAATAAGATATTTATAAAAATGTACGTATTGATGCTTCAAATGGTAAGAGAAACTGGGTTTCAAATGTGCGCGATTTACTTTTCAGTTTAGGTCTAAACTTTGTATGAAATGACCAAGAGAACATTAATATTTCTTTTGAATATATAAAATGTCGAAAAACGATCAATACTACCAGAACTGGTTCGCTATTTTGAATGATTGTGAAAAACTGTGTTTACAGATGTATATAGAAAATTAAAAAATGATTTTTTTCTAGAGGATTACTTAAATTATGATTAATAGTAATTTACTCACTACACTACGTAGTGGAACATGAAAACTGAATATAGAAGTTGGTCGTTTTGACAATATTGCAAGAGAAAATCGTATATGTACATGTTGTTATATGAATTGTATAGAAAATGAGTATTATTTTGTATTGGTTTGTCCTGCCTATAGATCATTGAGGCTACAGTTTTTACCTAAGTATTATTGTTCGTGGCCAAATAATAGAATACTTGCATTTCTTTTGCAAGCTAGCTCATAGAATTCAACCAAAACAATTGTGTAAATTTCTTAATGCGGCATGGAAGCTAAGATCACAAATTATAATTGCATAACAGTTGTAGTTCTGTGCTTGCTTTGACTTTATTGTGTTATTCTCTGTTTACTGTCATCATTGTCATTTTATATTATGTTATTTTGCTATAGCATTATGTTTGCTTCTGCAATAAAATATTTATTCATTCATTCAATAAATAACATTTTTGCTGTTAATAAAATAATAATCAAATTCAAAACATGATCAAGGCAAAAGCCGGTTGTACACGACGTGAATTAAATCGAGGAATTTATTACCCTCGTCACTCAAGAGACAACATTAATTAACAGTTTAATTGGAAACCGTACGCGTTAATGCTACATGTGCATTTCACTTTCACTGCTCTTGCATTTGGTTCTTATTCTTTGCTTTATTTTCTGTAATGTGTTTTTGGGATATTTTTTAATTGCTCGTGTATTTTCTTTCGTAACTGATGGAGTCTAGTATCTTCTGTCCAGAGGAATCCTTCACATGTTTTTTTTTCGAATTTCACAAACGGCCATATTTGCAATAAAGTAAATTGAAATGTACCGCCATGGCTTAACGATAATGGTATGATAAAAGTAAGATGACAATCTTCTATGGTATCCGACCTTTTTAATGACCATGACTTACATTTGTTAGATTTTAACACGAGTATTATAACAGGTGTCATTGATGGAGCAGAAAATACAAAAACTATACATATCAAGTAATATGATAAGTGTAGTTAGTTGTAGTTGTGTCTTTTTGAAGTTGTCGCCTTTAATAAAAATAACTTTTCACAAATACATGCTATTTTCCCGTATATCACGTGATTAAATGTTTAAGTAAAGTAGTCTGATTTGTACTTAGTAGTAGATATACTCTGCTTTAATCTTATGCACAATTTGTTAATTTGCCATCGTGATTGTTTATATACAGTTGAGTGTCAATTTAATCGCTTTTCGTTTTGTTATTTCCAAAGTGGAGTTCGCAGAATATTCCTGACTTGACAGCTGTTAATCAAACGAAATTTGAAGCAGGGTACAAGGAAGACGGGTGCATGAGTTATTTACCACATGAAAAAAGGTTGTGTCGGAAAAGGAGGACATATCTTTGCAGCAGCCTTAGAAAGTGAAAATGTCATTTATGGAAAGGATCGTGAGTCTCTAATAAAAAAATATTAAAGAATCTTGATTTTATTTCCTCACATTATGAGATCAATGAGATATAACAGTATATTATAGGTTCCTAGTACCGCTTTATCCCGCAACGATGTGTTATATACCAAGAAAACATTACTATTCTGAATCAAGTAAACTCTAACACGAGCTTTTCGACAAACTAACCAATGTTACTTTACGGATCTTATTATCTGTGAAAGTTGTTAACGTCGCTTTACCTCATTCGCTCTCTGTAATTGTTCGGTTGAAATGTTTTACGTTGTTACCTTTGTGTAAAATTTTAAAAGTAACAATATACAGAAACACTTTCATATGCGGTTATTCATTTGACTTGTTCTTTTCAACGGAACGAATCTATTTCAATCAATCAAGCTTAAATACAAAACATTAACGATTTAATTACGTCTTTTTCACAAGTGTCGTTGAAATCGCTCAGATAACAAAACACATTTAGTTTTAAATAAATAATTACAAGATCAATTGTGTGTGTTTTCATGTTAAAATCAAGGTAAGCGAAGACAGTCATATTTAAGATTTCTTTTACATTGTCAATTAGCGATTTCTTCTTTTTTTAAATCTGAAAGGATGCAAAAGTAGTCATTTAATGATTCAACTGAAATGCTGCTTTTCAATAAATTTTTGGCCGCAAAAGTTCTGTTTTATCTTATTTTTTCTAATTTTTACAACTATTTTCATCTAAAATTGATACTTGACCAAACTATTAAAATGATGTTATTAGAATTACGAACAGAGTATCTGACAAGTTGCTGCCCAATGGTCAAACAGTTACCAATTATTTAGCTTGCTAATATTTTGATCATTAGACATAATGGACGACTTTGTGATTACTTAAGCAAAAATTCTGAAATTAAATGTCAGAGCTCGTATAATACATATACAATATAGACTGCAAAAATAAACTATGTATTTTTAAAATCTGATTTAAGAATATCATTTTTATGACTTAAAGAAATCAAACGAACTGTGCCGACAAGACTGTAACTTTCTTAATTGGTTTGATTATGAATATCAATATTTTTATCTTATTTGACAGAGTTCCAAATAAGGTAGATGTTCCCATCAACATGGCAACTGAAAACATGGAGCTTTTCTGTGGTCCATGCTCAATAAGTCGTAAAAAGTCTAAATCAACTAGATGGTGCTTAGAGTGTGAAGAAGGACTTTGTGATGATTGTGTTGACCACCACAAACGGATGAAAATGTCACGTGGTCATACAACAATAGACGCCAATCAGTATGAAAAACTTCCATCTTTCATTCACACGATCAACCCCGACTGTACCGAGCACAAACGGAAATTAGAACTATATTGCCCATCTCATAAGGTCCAATGTTGTATGCAGTGTGTCCTTACTGACCATCATAAATGTATCGATGTGACGCCGTTAGAAAGTGTGGCTGCTTCAGTCAAGTCGTCGTCTGCCTTTCATGAACTTGATAGAGATATCGAAGGTGTGCTAGGAGACTTAGAAAAGGTGGCAAGAAGTCGGTCTAATAATTTGAATAGAATCACAGAGGAAGAAGCACGAATTAAAAGTGAAATATTGACATTAAGAACACAGTTTAACGAACATTTAGACAAACTGGAGGACAAAATATCAAACGATTTACAAGTAATTGAATCTCTCGAGAACTCAAAGATTGATGCTGTTCTTCGAGAAGTAAACGAGAGGCGCGATAATTTGGTTTCACTACAAAAAGATCTGAAGGGCATAAAATTGCATGCCACTGATATACAAGCATTCAATGGCATTAGACATACAGAATCCCAGCTGGAATCAAGCAAAAGTTACTTGCAGTACTTGCAAACGAGTGATACGACCGTAGATGTGGATATTTCTTTTGAAACTTCCCCCAGTGTCAAACTCATCATGAGTAAAATTACATCGTTCGGTAAAATAAATGTAGTGACTGCGCATAAATCTGCTTTACATCCAGTGGTTCGATCTAGATCTCTTACAACACCAAGATCATCAAGAGAAATTACTTTAAAAAGCGGTAAAACATCACTAACTCAAATCCCTGAAGCAATTCGACACGAAATTGATGTAAGGAAAATCTCACTACTTTTTCATAGGAAAATATCAATTCCTGTTGGACAACTTGGTATAATTTCTAGTATTATTAGGTTAATCGACAAAAAAATAATGGTGGCCGAGTCGTCCTACAAAAATGGTCATCTCTATTTATTCAACGCTTTAGGGAAATATCTAAAAGAAATAAAAATAACTGGCGATCCATGGGACGTAACTCAGTTAGATGGAACAACCATCGCTGTCACATATCCCGACCAAAATGAAGTGAAACTTATTAACTGTATGAATGGGGATATTATAGACACGATTCCATTACAAAAGTCGGGATGGGGACTTTGTAGTGATGACTATGCTATTTTTGTTGGCATGAAAGGCAACGAGCTACTGGAATTAGATTACTTTGGAAACAGGATCAAGAGTACAACTATCAAGTCGAGGCTAGAAAACTTCCACATCGGTTCAGACAGCATTTACTACACAGACCCTAAGAAACATTTGTTGTATTGCGTTTCTGTAACGGGTACGTTGATGTGGACGTACCAAAATGAGTACATGAGAGGGCCTCAGACCGTAACAACGGACAAATATGGTAATATTTTCGTCGCGTGCAGTGATAATCATTGCATTGTAGTTATTTCTCCTGATAGAAATAAAATTCGGATACTACTTGGGAAAAGTGTTGGACTAGAACGTCCTCAAGCTATTTATATTGACAAAGAAAACTCCGTTCTACTGGTAAGCAATCGGAACGGAAAATTTGCCGCAATGTATAAAATTGTGTATCGATAATATTATTTATGTGCATTGGGAATAAATTTAAAGGATCTTATTTATTTGAAATCTCGCTAACATTTATTTTTGCAATGCAATATCTGGAGATGGTAAAAAATCCCGGTACACAGAGATCATGTTTAATTTGTAAATGTTTTAACTCTAGCTTTTATCATTAAATTCCAGCAAAAACATAAAATGAGAGATTTCATATATCCTTTAAGGTGGACTTGATTCGAATTCCCTAATTTGAATCAATATATACAAATATAGATATGCAAGTACTTAGGTGACACATCTATAGATTTTCACGCTTAAATGTCTTACAAACATAATCCATTGTATTCATTTTTCAAAGAAGTTCACTTTATTTTGACCAATGCCACATAGAGGATAATTATATGTCAATCTAAATGTGACGGAAAACGATTGAATACAAGATGAAAGTTGGGTACCAAGAGACTATATTTATATTATAAAAGAGTATCGTTTAAGTTAGTAAGTAAAAGGCCGTACGGTGATCTATAGTTGTTAATTTCTGTGTCATTTGGTCTCTTGTGGAGAGTTGTCTCATTGGCAATCATACCACATCTTCTTTTTTATATTTACATTGTATTTGAAATTTTTTTGAAAAGAAGTCATCAGGTAAATGAGCAGTGCAATACATTGTAGGCTGTACTTTTCACAATTATTATAATATCCATTATTGTTTCTTTCGGGACACATCAACGGAAACTGCAGAGCTTGCAGATTGAACATGTTTAACACGTGTATCGAAGTCGATTTAGCTATGAGCATTTTGTTGAGTGATAACGAATATGTCAAACTTAATCTTATTTTGAACACAAATCTTGTTGTGTTTGTTTGTTGGTATATAAACGCAAATTCAACCACTTTGGTTATATTATGACGGAAAGTTTTTATTGGAGGTGGTAGCCTGAATACTCGAAGAGAACCACCGACCTTAGACATGAAAAGGTATTCCTTGTCAATTAAGATCGGAGTCGAACACATTTCGCCGCGAACGGGATTAGGGCCCTTATGCATAAACCCACTTAAGTTAAGAACTAATTTATCGTAGGACATGTAGAAAAATCCGTCCATTCCAAATCTTAACTCAAGTAGCTTTATGCAAACGGGCCCTGAACTCGCAACCTTAGAGTTGAGTGTCTAGTGATCACTTTAGATGAACTATTTAGACCACTCCGCCCCGACGGATGGTCATTAATACCAGCAATCTAGTTAATTTGATGGTGATCTTTCAACTGTACTGTAAGTAGTGGTTAGTAATAGTAGTTATATGGCCGACCGCTCGATTGATTGATTTAAATACACAAACCACTGTTATTACCGTTACTATGGGTTTCAATAAATAAATTGTAAATGTATCATATATATTAAATAGCATGCCATGTTTTATTGCTTATAATAAACTGTTTTTATATCATTGCATGTCATTACTTAAATACATGTATCGTTGATATATTTGCAAGGTCAGTCATTTCCCTGGATCCAATGTGTTTTTATAACACTACTTAAAATATCAATTGTTAAATTTACATACACAATATCATCGTTTTATGTTCATGTTACCGCCATACTACTTTTAATGATAGCTTTAATGGCAACAAAAAGTTTTCATTCGTGAACTCGGTGTGACTTTTTCGACGTTCCACTGTCGACGGTTGATTATTTTTGAAAGTTGACAGAATTAGGGACCACATCAAAAGTTCAATGTAGGATAAAAACTTTAATTCACATAGATTTTTCCTGGACCCCACCCACCCCCTTGCAACTTGATTTGGAAAATATTGATTAACTGGTATAGGCATATGCCTGTAAAGAATGTTTTAATGCTGTTTAGCATGTAATATCATGAGTGTTGTTTTATCAACAATAATTGATTGTTAGTTGCTTAACATTCAGTGGCAAATATTTCATGCATGTTCATGACGAAAACAAATTAGCAATACATACAATAGGTAAGTCCTGTAAAAGGGATTGACCAGGATAAAAGACTTGAAATTTGGACCGCCTCTTTAGTCTTGCACAGGCCACGTACAGACCCCTCTAAAGTTGTTACAAGGGTTACTGGTGTGTATAGAGCATGACACTATCTAGATGGCTTTCAAATCTTGTGTTGATCTGTATTATGCTTCACTAAAATTCAAAACTACCATTTAATTATGGTTCCAATGACAAAGATACCATGAAACAGTTCACTTTTGAAATTTTCTGTTTGTAGTGTTCTTCAACTTAGTTTGAGTTAGCCTTCAAACTGTTTTGATTATAGTGCTACTGGTGCGTCTTATGCAGACGAAATGCGCATCTGGCGTTCCAAATTATAAGCCTGTTATTTTCGTTGAGTTTTTCTTGCAAAACTTGCAGCATGTTTGACATCCATCCCATCCCCAAACTATGTGAATTAAGTTTTTTAGTCTACATTGATTTGTCGATGTTGTCCCTAATGCTCTTGAAATTATTATTTCAGGACTTACCAAAACGATTTTTAGTTCTTTTAACTTATTTTTTGGCCAGAGAGCTTTAATAGGCTATAATTTGTTATCTGGTTTTCGCATTCATTTAACTTAAACAGACAACATAAAATTTGAAATTTTTGTAAAATGAAGTAAAGTTGAAATAAATATTTTCTATTGTTGAACTAATTTTCTGTGCATCCGCACTTCATACTGAAATTGTGCGCACGATGGAAGCATTAAATTCTTATAATTACATTTTAATCATTGTCTTCAACTATGAAATTTCGAGATATATCTCGAGTTTCGTTTGTTTTCCTATGCATCTTAGAAACGTTTTCATTGAAAGAACGTGCAGTCATGAATGTCGAATTTTATTGAGAAATACAATTTGATTTTTGAATTCCTCGCGATTGCTTTTAGCCAATCAAAAGTACGGATTCTTATGAAAAATACCAGTTATGTAATTATTATCGCTACCAATTCACGCTATCTATTGTCTATTGTCTCGGATGGTATGATTGGTGTGGTCTTTTGCACGGTCTTAAAATGCTTGATAATTAGTGCTATTCATTTTAAATCCCAGTGAACTTGATATTAATGATACTCCTAGAACTAGAAAGTTTGCTTCATATCGTGATCTTTTCCTCGATATTGACACAGATGGACGACTTTAAACTAGATTTTATGACAAACGTGATGATTTCAACTTTCCAAATGCCATCTTCTTATTTCTCAGCAGTAATTTACTCTGTTGATGCGTAAAGTTCGTCTACGTTCAAACAATACGGACTTCATTAGCAAGAATGTGCTGCTTACACAAAACCCGCTCAAACAAAGTTATGAGAAAGAACGACTGATATCGGCACTAAATAAGTCTTACTGTTACATTGAGTGAAAGTAAAGTAAAGATTGAGTAACAGGAAACTAAAGGTTGAATAATGGAGAACTTAAGATTGAGAAACAGGAAATTAAAGATTGATTAACAGGAAGCTTAACATTGAATAAAAGGAAACTAAACATTTAGTAATTAAGGATTGAGTAACAGGAAGCTTAACATTGAATAACAGGAAGCTTAACAGTGAGTAACAGGAAACTAAAGGTTGAGTAATGTAGAACTTAAGATTGAGAAACAGGAAACTAAACATTGGGTAACATGAAATAGAAAAACCCTGTTACACATACAGGAGTCAAATTGCACTTTGATAAGGTAAACAGTTCCACAGTTCGCGATCGAAGTGTAAGATCCTTGTAACTGTACGTATTTAAAAAAAATCTGTACGATACATGTAAAATTCCTAAAAATGTGTTCATACTAAGATGAATAACTCATGGAAAGTGTTTTCCTTACATATTTGGTACTTCTTGGTATTCTATCAGATATTTAGACAAACACGTCCATCCCAAATCCTTTCATTTCTTGCAATTACAGACATTTCAATTTATCTTTGACAATTCAATTATAGTTATATGCCTGGGTAATATATGAACATTTATTTGTTCAGTCTGTACGGACATACGTCTTCCAAAATTTTAAACATCCAAAAACTCGTATAATATCTCTTGTACCTTTTTGCCATTTAAGGTTGCTGTCTGTTGGAATTTTCCCAACATTTTCTTTCACAAATAACAATTGAAAGTGACTGTTGTAGATATGTGTATGTATCATGGATAACAATTTGTGATATGTTGTACATCAAAAACAAGACATAATTTTGACTGAACAGTTTTTATGCATTCAAATGCATACGTTAGTGGTAAATAAAATATTTGTGGTGAAGACCCTCATGATCAGATACAAATGAATAATTACATTGTCAAGTACGACATTTCACCCATAACTTTTCAATTCAAATTTATAAATTTAAAGCCATACATAAAACGTTTATTAAAATGTTTAAAAATAGTGATCTGTAATAAAACGTTAAGTTGGAGGATTTTACAACATGAAAGAGGTGCTAAAAGCGGGAACAGATAAAACTGTTTTTGTAAAATTTTGCATTATGTATAAAACAAATCCATAATTACATTCAATTAATGGACAACAATTAAGAAAAAGTTGATTACTATTTGAAATCGATAATTTCACACTTTATTGAATTTGCAATTTACATTTTATTAGCGTGTTAATTTCTGTATCCCTCTACGCAAAGGCCTCGGCATACTTTGTGCATAGTAATCAGCTCAGCAACGAATATTTCATTCATTTAATTCTGACTGTGTATCTACATTTATTTTTAAGTCCTTAAGATGGAGGTCAGATCGCAGCCGCTTCCGGACAATTTTTGTTTATTCGTAAGTATCATTTGATCACTTAATTTTACTATTTTCTTAGAAACTAGCATTTGTCTTTATTTAGAGACTAGCATTTGTCCTTTTTTTAAACAATAAACATCTATGAGTTGTGCTAGTATTTCAAATAAACAATTTATATCGATAAAACTTTAAAATTCCGTGTAACTATAAAAAAAAGGAGATATGAGACACAAGTCTCCAGCAGAGACCAAATGACACAGAAGTAAACAACTATAGATCACCGTACGGCCTTCAACAATGAGCAAAACCCATACCGCATAGACAGTTATAAAAGGCCATGATATGACAATTGTAAAACAATTCAAACGAGAAAATTATCGGCCTGATTTATGTACAAAACAATGAACGAAATACAAATATGATATACAGCAACAAGCGACAACCACTGAATTACAGGCACATACAGAATGTGGCAGGTGGGCGTCAAAACCCTTCCCCCTTACCTTGGAAGGTGTAACAGCACAACATATGAAAAACTATAAAAATCAGTTGAAAAGGTCTCAACTTAACAGATCGATACAGTGCAGAAAAGCAAGTTTTAAAAACGGAGACCAGACGTGGCCGGGTATTTATACATCCCAACAACAAAAAAGACCCTAAATACAGATCGGATAGTACTCGCAGTTACTGACAGCTAGTTCAAAGCCAATAACAACTGATAAAAAATCATGTATTTAAGACTAAAGTATCAATCAGTACACAATCAGAACATCCAGTGGATTTAGTGTAAAGACGTCAATAACAGTCGGAGAAAAACATGACCTTTTATTAAAAAAAACAATTTTTTTTAATCTCTGACAACATATCCAATTCTCATAACATGCGGATAACCGATTTTTAATCTCTTTGTTCTTTTTTTTTAAATCTATAAACCAATCTGCATGTATCTTACATGAATATTCATTACAAAATGTCTTATTTAAAATGGGTTGACCAGGATTTAGGTTAGAGGTATTGGTTTTGTTTATGGCACGACTAACTGATCACGGTCAAACAAATTAGCCATCCATATGTGGTTTTTTTTTCACTATTGACCAGAAATATCCGAAATATGGCTTATGGTAACGTTTCTCACTGTTCCAAATGTAAATTTGATGCATAAAATTTAATATATTAATACCTTAATTTACACAAAAAAAAAACTATATTTTAGACTGAGCCAGTATAACATCCTAAATCTTCCCTGAGCGCGAATTCTTTTAAATCTATTAAATTAGATATTTCCCCTGTATTGGTTTCACTCGCACAGTCAAAACAGAAAAGTTATGCAATTCCTCAGAATTTGAATATATACAAATTTTGAAAGGTTTGGAGATATACTTGAAAGACTTTTCAACAATTGTGCATGTACTTATAAAGTCGTAATGTTATTAATTTTGAAATATTGTTGTTGATTAATTGATTGTTAGTTGCTTAACGTCCAGTGGAGATGTTGTTGAATGAAATTTCGTAAAAATATGACATGCTTGTAATTTTTGTCGAGGGACATCCTTTACAGTACTGACTTAATTTGTATCATAGGTACTTGGGGACAGGACAATTGTTTGTGCCTTTCCCCTCTTTTCCAAAATCCGTTTTTTAAAAGTTCAATTATTTTCGTATATTTCTGTTTTAGACTTACATAAATATACTAGACTCAACATGTGTTTACTATTTACTATCAATTACTAGTTTACTATCCACAGCTGTCACTGATAATATGTAGAGAAACCAGTGACCTCAGTGGATAGTAAACTATCAGTTAATAGTAAATAGTAAATAACTAGGGTTGTTTTCTAGAATATTTATGAGAGTCTAAAACAGAAAAAACACAAAAAAATTTAAAATTAAAAGAAAAAAAATAAAGGATTTGGGAAAAATGGGACAGGGCAAAGCAAAATTGGCATGTACCCGAAGTGCTTGTACTTACGGTTTTCAGCTGTGCTCATTATATAACAATAATGATTTTTTATTGTTAGTTGCGACAGTATTTTTGCTGTAGACGAAAACGACAATGGAATCCAATCAACCAAAGGAAACCAAAAGTTCGACGAGAGAGGAGCCGTGTTGTAAGTGTAAATAATAAGGATAATTACATTAACTTAAGGACTTTATGACTTTTTAATCGTCAACGTCTAAATTTTTGTCAGAACTGGAGCTCTGTTGGTATGATGCAGAATAAGAGTTATGATTTTTTTAAGTCAAAATCCAGTGCTAAAGAAGTAGCTCTATCGCTGGAGACGTGCATATAAAAATAAGGAGATGTGGTATGAGTGCCAATGAGACAGCTATCCACCAAAGTTTAAATGAAGTGGATGTAAGAAATTATAGACAACCGTACGGCCTTCAACAATGAGAAAACCCTATACCGTATAGTCGGCTATAAAAGGCCCCGACATGAAAAATATGAAACAATTTAATTGAGAAAACAAACGGCCTTATTTGTACGAAAACAATTTGCGAAAAAACAAAAATGACAGACATGAACAACAGGCTCCCGACTTTGGACAGGCACACACAGAATGTGGCGGGGTTAAACATGTTTCAAGGCGCCAACCTTGAAGTTCCCCATAACCTGGGACAGTGGTGTAACGGCACAACACATGAACAAAATATGCAAAACAATAAACGAAAAACAAATGTGAGAAACATAAAAAAAAAACGACAACCACTTAATTCCAGGCTTATTTTTGGAAAATCGAATGCCCATAGAGAAACAATTGTTAGTTACCGAAAGGTTGTATTAATTTCTATGAACTAGTAGAGTCACTGCCTGTAATCTGCATTACATCTAAAAGGCTCGGATTTAAATCCCGAACATTGGAGTTTACATCTCTAACGCTGGACTATATATCTTTAGCGCTGAACTTTACATCTCGAGTACTGGATTTTTCGTCCATAGAGCAAGACTATGTCTTCAGTACAACTTAAGACTGTACATCTTCTGCGCTTGACGTTATACTAATATCTCAAGCGCGGGACTTTTACACCATCAGCGCTAAATAATTTAATATATCTACAAAGCTAGACTTTACATCAGAAGCGCTGGAGTTAAAAAGTTAACATTTATTGTGCAAGAGTTTATAAAAATAGCTAAATAAATAAACAAACTGTATTGCATTTCAAAAATCCGAAATTGCTTTTATTTTTTTATTTTTTTTCTTTCTTTCAAAAATAAAACTTGGTTTTTTTAGCAATTCTGCCAGGTTTTTTTTTATGTTTATTTTTGTGTTTGTATTCTTTCTTTTTTTTTTTGCCACCAGACATTTGCAGCAAAAGTAAACAAGGTGGAGCCACTATTTGTACACCAGGAGTCATTAGATGAAACATGTTCAGACGACAATAGCGATCACGGGCTCTCATACGACGACCGACTGAAGGCTAGTGAAGAAAAAGCTTCCGAAGAAAATTCTTCAACAACAGCCTTACTAGATGAACGGTTTTCAGATAGATCATCATCGGAATCGGAATACGAAGAAGGAGAGATTTTAACAGTTGAAGGTATAATAACAAATTCAAAAGCAAAAGGATATTAATTTGCACTGATTTTCGATCAAAAATTTCTTTTCTTTTATACATTATTTATTTGTAAGTACATTGTATACATTCTTCGAGTCCACTCAAATAAAACGATGACCACTATTTTCAGTGCTATGATTGCATTATTCGTTTACGTTAGATTCAGACTAGCATATTATTTGTAAACTTGTCAAATCATCCTATGGTTAAGGCAATAATTCCAATAGACAGTTTAGTGATAGCAGGCCCGTAGCTAGGGGGTTCGAGGGATTCGTACGTACGCCCTTTTGAAAACAAATAAGCACTATTAAATTCGACGTTCTGTTTGAATTGTGTCTACATGTATTAAAGTTGAGATTTTGTTTGGCGTGAGCCGATGTCACCCCCTACCCCCCGGTACGGGTCTGGATAGTTTCGGTCATACATATAACAATAAGAAGATGTGGTATGATTGCCAATGAGACAACTCTCCTCAAGTGAACAAATGACACAGATTTATTTATATATCTTGGCTAAACAATCAGTCTGCTATTATACAGTTTCAATCTATGATACACTCAAGTTTTCAAGATAATCAACACAAATGTTAAAATTGGTCTTAAAGATGATTCTGCTATAAAATGTCAATTGATCAATTGAGTTAAGCGTTTATGTAGACTTTTATTTTATTGCTTTTACATTTTATACTTCAAAGATAATAGGCAAAGGCCTTAGAATTAGAAACTAATTGTTAGTTAAGTGTATTCAATAGGGAAGAATGTACCAAGGGAACAATCAAAACTCGTGATCATAAGACGAAGAAAAACAGACACCATGGTCAAAAATTAAAATGTCGAAAAGACAAGCAACAATCTTCAAACAACTATACAGAAACCTAAAAATCGAGCTACACGAACTCCAACATATACTAGGGGTGATCTAAGTTCCTCAAGAAAGAAGGTGGGAACCCGTCGTGTTGTTCATGGCAAGTACAAATGCGGTGACATGTCGCATTTGATGATGACATTATAGAGGAAAAGAGTTGGAACACTCCATCGTCATTTGTAACACAGATATTCCATAACAGTCAACCAAATTGTTACGGCGTTCGTAAATATTTCGAAGCGATGACTTCACTTTACCAAAAAAAAACCATTGTAAGCAGCAAAGTTCTAACAAAGAAATTTTAATAGGAAACGCAGGCTTTGGAATATTGAATCATCTTGGAGATAAGTGATATACGCTTCAAATTGACGTATCTTTTGATCTTTTGATCTGTAATAGCTTATAATTCTTGCTGTGTGCAGTTCCACCTGTTTATCTATTTTAATAGTTTCAAGATGATGATAAAAAACGTTTAGATTAAAAAAAAAACAACAACAACACCAAATATCATTATAAGCCAATAATCCGTTTCCGCTGTGTGTAATAAATTTGGTAGAAATGTAATGGCGGTAGATGTTGACTTTCTGAGCACATATTCAACAATTCCATGCGTCTATTATGGTGTTCTAAGAGATAAGACATCAACTCCCATTAAACCCTTATACATTATACTTCATTTAAAGACAAAGCGGACATGGTGGTGTAAAGCGGGAACTCCAGGACCAAGTCGTTTTAGATAATTGTGGAAAGGTTTTAATTTCATTAGCAAGTTAGATTTAGTTCGGGAGAATTATTGTTTGCAAAATATTTAACGGACGCCAAATGAAAGTTAATTATAGAATGATGAATCTTGTGTTTGGTCAGGAAAGCTAAAAAGGCTCAGTTCTTTTTATTTTATTTTTTCTTTTATTATTTCATCTTTTATTGAAGAAATCAAATACCAATAAATTCCGGAATTCAAAATGGTGGCTTCATTTAGTTACAGACAGGTAAACCGTGGATTATATACTCCATCAAATAACATAGCGTTGTGCAGTTAAAATCGTTTTTATAAACTAACTGCATTACATTTTGTGATAAGTTTAAGGCGAAGCATATGTAATAGGTATTTCGGATTTTCATAAAATTGTGTGTGCATCTAGAAATCATATCGTTTGGGAGCTACCATTTGATTTTTATGGGGTGGGCTAGGATGAAATTTGAAAAAAATAGGCAGGACACTAGTTTTGAGTAAAAAAAAGGCAGGATGAAACACTTGCAAAAAAAAAAGTCAGGATGACAATTTAGGTAAAAAAAAGTCAGGATAAACTTTAAAAAAAAAAGGCAGGACCGAACAGAGTGAAAAATAAAAAGGCAGGACAGAGATTACAACTAAAAAAAAATGCAGGACAAATTTTTTCATCCTAGCCCCCCCCCCCCCCCCATAAAAATCAAATGGTAGCTCCCTTAGACCCCTTTAATCACACCTGTACTACTATTACGATATTTATGCAGGGCTAAAACACGAATAGCATTTACTTCGTCTGAAATTATGCCTAATGATGTTAGATCTGCGGGATCTCAGTTCTTGATATAAATGATTTACTCAATCTTTTATTTTGTATAGCTCAACTGTTGTCTTGGCGATAAAAATGTGGTCATTTGGACTGATAAAGATGGACATTCGTTTGGGTTTGCGTACTATATAGATACGTAACCACGTCTGGCCAGAATAGGGACGTTAAATCCGTTTCCTCGTGTTAAGATATTGCATCTTTTGTATAAACACAAGAAACTGGATGTTTGTTCAATGGCATAACATCATAGAATTTTATATCTTTCCCTTATCTATCATACTTCATTTCTTACATTTAAGCTTTTATAGAGAAGTACGTACAAGATACAATTCATGCAGCCCTGGACCAATGGAGAAAAGACTGTGAGCATATTAGTCAGACTGAGTAAGTTAGTTCACTTACAAAAAAAATCAGAATAATTCATTTTAAAACAAATGTAACGGATTTTAACGACAATATTTGCATCTTCAGATTACAATGTAAATAATATATAATTGAGTAAATAAAAATAAGGTGATGTTGTATATGATTGCCAATGAGACAACTATCAACCAGAGACCAAAAGACGAGGATGTAAACAAATGTAGGGTACTATATGGCCTACAGCAATGAGCAATACCCATACCGTATAGTAAGCTATGAAAGGCCACGGCATGGCCATGTGAAACAATTCAGAAGAGAAAAACAACAGCATGATTTATGCTTAAAGCAACCGAGAAACAAATAACGCAAACAGCAACCAAGACAACGGCTTAATTGGATTGCCAAATGTGATTACTTTTAATGAAAACCAAAGTACAACTTAACATGAGAGCAATGTAAAGCTCTTATTTTGCATATTAGCTTCATTTGTGTGATACGACACAAAGTTTTTTTTTTATTTTTTATATATATTGCATACTCTTTCTCACAAGACATGCATGCACTTTACTATTCCTTTCAGTTCATAAAATAAATATGTTGAAATCCTGCATGTATATTTCCCTTATACTGCTCTTTGATTATAGGCAGTTGCTATTTGTCCGGCTAGCCGGACGAATAGTACCAGGACTATTTGTCCGGCCAGTTCAATGCGCATGACTGTGAGTGCGAAATACTATCTTCTGCAGCACCAGGGTGTGGCAAATTATATATATGGACATCTATAAAGCAATGTTTTGCAATCTTAAATTGTAAGGCCCCAATTTTATTACTGGTAATTGAAATGGTTGTTTTCTTCAAATAAAATCCAATGCGGTCAATGTATATTAGAAAAAAATCATATATATTCAATGTTATATTTACATATATCTATTGCTTCACATTGCAAAAAGAGGGAGGAAATTACTTGTAAACCAAACTTGGGTCGTGATTGGCTCATGCATTTTAGATTAAGTTAAAGTAAGGATTTTCTTGTTGAAAAAGGTACAAAATTATCATGTCTGAGACTGTTAAACAGATCGAGTTATAGATCCCCTTAACATAAAGTTGTCCATATTTTGAGTTAGGGATGATGAAAGGGTTGGGGTAACACGTGGCGTTCCTTCGGTTTCCAAATCCCTCTTTTCTTTTTACCCAGATCCCACCTTTATTGTCCACTATATTTCATATCCCCACTTTTTATAATCCTATATCCCACATCCCCCACTTTTTTTTAAGTTATACTATCGTATTCCCTTGTCAAGTTCTGAAAACTGGAAAATTATCACAAATATTAATATCCACGTTTTCAGCCATGATCTCAAAATTGAAAATCAGTGATAGGATTACACGCCACCCTTGGTGCTGCTGAAGATAATATTACACTCACTGTCGTACGCACATAAAATGACATGCGCATTGCAATGGCCGGACAAATAGCCCTAGCACTATTCGTCCGGCTAGCCGGACAAATAGCCACTCCGTTGATTATATTACTAATAAATAGTCTTATACAATTATGATTTCCTTTCTTGTAGATTACGAGATATAGAGGAGGAGGAGGATCCAGAATAAATGCTGCGTTAAGGAAAAAATATATTGCTGCGTCAATGCAAAACAATATTATTATTTTTTATTATTTAAATTGTGATAAATTACATGTATTTATTTCAATATATTATAAGTATTTATTTTTATTCTCATAAATAATAAAGGTATCTAATTGCATTTTTAATGTGTCAGTAAAAATGACAATGAATTGAGTTTCCTCCTATGTTACATAGTAGTTTTCATTGACAAATACATAATTTACTACTACGAGAGATCTTTAGACTAAAAAATAGTTACAACGTTTAAATTTAATTGTAACTAACAACAAACTACAGTTTGAATTTAATTTCAATAAAAACTAAACACCAAAATAAAACCATTATGGATTGTCAAATATATATACAAATAACTAATAAATATGCATAAAATATATATCAACCAATTAATACATTAAATATTCAAAGCTATTAATTTGGTACAAAAGGTGTAGCACGTTTTTTTCGAATGCATCTAAAAGGTCGCGTACATCAATGCAAATTTTTGAAAATCCATAAGTTGTCTTTTCTGTTGGTCATTTGAATACTGTTTAGGCATTTTTCCTTTGGATTTGTGTCCTGTCTGTTGGTTCATCACCTCTGTAATGATTTTTCCCTTTGGAATGTAAAGAATAAGACACGTCTGAAATATAAAAAAAAATCCGAACTAATGGTTCACAATCTATTAAATCATATTGATAATATTTAATAAAAAAAAAGTATTGCATCAAAGAAAATGAATATATACACGTACTTCTTTTAAACAGAGTTTTACTGTGCATAATGCTGTGTGTTTATTTATTCTATATTGGCTAGTGGTAAAGGAGGAGGGTTGAGATCTCACAAAACATGTTTAACCAGGCCGCATTTTTTTCGCATTTCCCAAGTCAGGAACCTCTGGCCTTTGTTAGTCTTGTATGTTTTTAAATTTTGGTTCTTTTATATTTTTCGGAGTTAAGTGTGACATCCATTTTCGCTGAACTAGTATACATTATTGTTTCGCGGCCAGCTGAAGCCCGCCTCCGGGTGCGGGATTTTCTCGCTTTGTTGAAGATCCATTGGTGGCCTAGAGCTGTTTTCTGCTCTTTGGTCGGGTTGTTGTCTCTTTGTCACATTCCCCGTTTCAATTCTCAATTTTATGTAGATACATTATATAGACATGATTTTTTTTTCAAATAACAGAAATATAAAGTCTTCAGCGAGTTTTTTCTAATCAAGTAAAAATATTGGCGTATTCTACAAAAACATTAAATTCGCCATACTTTTAAACTAGACTAACTTTTCCATTTGCCTTTTTAAACTTTAAATCCAATCTTCTTTACGTGACTTTCCAAAATCCATTATCAGACATTAAGATAAAAAGAGTTATTTATATTTTTTTTATTTAAAGGAATATCTTGCCGAGTCCGAATAATTCCCAACTCGTATTCAATGGGAGGTAATAAGTAAATTTAGAACGACTTAATGGTTTCAAAATAAATACTTATACAATGTCCTTGTAGTAAAACTTCTTTTCAGAAAAATAACAAGTATGTTGTCCAATTCAAATAAACGATACAACGTAATTTCATTTTTATAAATTTTGGAAGTTAGGTGACATTTGGAGCGTGGTAACCTTTCTTTTTCTTAAATATCAATCTAACATAATACCTTCTACAGTCAGTCTTTTAAACAAGCCAAGAAACCCTGTTTACAGTAACTGAAATATAATTATATGTTGTGATGTTATCAATATGTATGCATGTTACAAAATGCAGTAGGAATTTTTGTACGTCTTCTCACCAGATTGAAACATGCTTTCTCGACTCTGTGTAGAAGTGGCGCTTAGTTGTATTAGTATAAGAGTGGAGAATCTTTACAAAAGTAGGTATATTTGTATTCAAACACTTTTTTTTAAATCGGATTTAAAACAGTTGGTTTATTTCGTGTTTTTTTCGCTTCGTCCAATCAAAATGACTGCCTTGCAAACTTGTCTTATACGTCCGCAACGAGAGCAGTCCTGCTCTATGCCCATTTCTACAAGTGGAAGCACTATGTTTTTTGTCAATGATGCACATCTCGCTATCGCTCAGCTCAAGATATTTATCAAAATAATGCCTATTCATGCTAAAATGAGCCTAGGTCATGACACGAAAAATTATTTAATAATTAGATATCGGCAAGTATCCTCTGTTTTAAAAAAATAAATAAAGTGCAATAACTTTGCTTATATGCGTTCTAAATTCGTTTTGATAGCATGTAATATTGTTTAACGATAGAGGACTTAAATTACAGAATATCTTTCACATAAAGAAATGTCCGGGAAATTACGTAATTTCAACCAATGGAATGATTATATACATATATATATCTTAGTAAAAGTGTATATATCTTTTTGTACACATGCTATAAGACGAAATATACTTACCAAGTCCTATTTCTAACTTTTATCTTTGCGCCATCTTCCATTAAATATTTCTCTAAATAGCAGTCGGTTTCTAAATGTCTGTTGGAATTTGGGTTAACTGTTGGAAACACTATAAAACATAGTCACTGATTATGCCTTTGTATTTCTAAAAAAATATCTTCGTTCCAGTTTTGGTAGAGGTAAGTTTTTGCTGATTGTTTAATTTATTATTAAAATGAAAGGTATGGGGTCTGTAAATGACAACGATGATCGATGAATGGTCAGTGGCAACTATTACATGTATATTCAGGGCGGAAAGATTATATTGTGATATAAATTAATATGAACCCTGCTTTTTTCTACACCGACTACGCTAAGTTACTTTTGAACCATGCAAGTTCATAATACAACAGTCCACATGACATTACTACGCGTTTACCATTTTTTCTCTTACTCCTTAATTTATAATGGTCCTGAACATGCATGAAAGACTTGCCACTGGACTTAAGGGAATCAACAATCAATCAATTAATCCTTAATTTATTTATCATCCGTATTTAATGGAGAAGCAGCAAATATTAAATTTCTTCAAGTCTTTGTTTGTCTTTGTGCATGTAATAGTTGTCATTGGACGTTAAATGTATATATGCTTCAAGTAAAGGGACGCATTTTACTGTATCCATATGAGATATCATTCTGCAATTAATACTTCATTGTGTAAGTTGAAAAGGGTGTATAATTTAATTTCCTGAATGTTAGTTCATGCCACCTCAATAGCGAGCATAATTTATAAAAGAATAAGACCAAAAAAATAGAGTGTTGAATATAAGACAAAAATACATAAATTTCCTGAAATATAGCTTCCTAAAAGAAAAGCACTGCAATGTTGTTCTTGTCTCTAAAGTTTTTGTATGTTGCTTATTAGCAGGAAGTAATCATTAGTGAGTTAATTATTGTTGCAATATGCATTCACGATTTGCAGTTGTGTTCATTGGCATGGTCATTGGAAATAACAAGTTAAGAAATTGTTCTTTAATTTATTGATTTTATGGACATCTGCTAGTCGCGTCAAAACAGACCCAGAGCCAACAATAACAGAAATCGTGCATGTAGCAAATGCAAACAGTTATCAAAATACATTACTGACCACAAGGAAACATTTAACGTTAACTAATGATCATTTGTAATGATGTTGAAGTCAGAATCAGGATGTACAGAGAATCATATATTTTTGAATTATGCATGGATTAAGACATGCTTGAAAGTGAGAGAATATAGCAATGCGCAATAACAAACATAAATCGGAGACAAGCAACACGTTGATAAAAAAAAACCAAATAAAACTATGACTATGATTTTTCATATTATTAACTGGTAATGTTTATAAACCATCAGAAGTTAATTTACCCATAATACATTGAAAATCAACATTTTGCAATAATCATATGTAGCTTCGATTTAGTAGCTAATATAGATTTATATATAAATTCACTCACCGTCTTTTTCAGGAATACAGTGACCTAAATTAGGTACGCCCTTTTTCGAATTTCCCAGCTTTTCCACGTGACAAATGTATCCTGTTGGGCATAAAAGAGGATCTTCATCTTCGTGATGTGTAGTACTGCATGGTTCTACTGGAATTTAAAACCAATTATTGTCTTTAAATCTCAGCTAGTAAAACATCTTTAAATTATGTTTGAAAAATCAAATACTTCTTTCTTTTTTTCACATCATCAAGTACATCATAAACATTTTGCAATTCCTCACACTTATTTTATTCAAATACAAGTGTTTACCAAGTACAACAAACCTTTCAAGATGTGGCTTTTTTTAATAATGACAAACTCAAACAATTTAAAGAAAAAAGAATAATTATTTGAAAGATTTTACAAATATATTTTAGGAGTGTTTTTTATTTCTTCCTTTACTTCCTTTTAGTTTTAGTTATATGTCATCTTATCATGTAATACACGAAGAATGATACATTCGTAAGAAATATGTAACAGAGTCACACATGTCCATCTCCAAAACATGTATATATCGCTCAATCATCATGATCATGCTCAATTTCATCCTGTCCCAAAATCTATATAAAAAATCGAGTGACATTTGTTCTCGCCAATCATTCTCCTATTATATTATATATGTAGATGTATCACAAAAACCACACTAACCAATTATCTTTTTTTACATAATTGCGAAAAAATTATATGATGCAATATCATGGTCTCCTGAGCAAGACGTTATTTATGAACACAGTGTTCCTTTGAACTTCAGCAGTACACATTTTTAAACTCGAATAAATAAATCAATGATACTCACATTCTTCCGCTAAATTTGGTCCCTTCATCAGCCATGAGATTCCTGTTAAAATTCAAATTGTAAAAAATGATATAAGGCTTTGCGCTACTTATGAATATCCCCCATATTGAAGTAGAAATGTTTATTTTATTCTTTTTGCATTCATTATTTCAGGTCTGCAATATTATTTAATCTTTATGTGCATTCGTTCGACATAATATATGAATTGAGATAATCTTTAAGATGTGGTTTAATTTAAAGAGGTATTAAATACCAAGGGTACAGCAAAGAACAAGTCAATAAAAACGGAGAACACAATGGCCAAAAAATAAAACAAAGAAAAGACAAACAGTCCACAAAACATAACAAAGGAAACTAAAGATCATTGATGAACACTAACCACACCAAAGCCAGAGATTAACTCAGGTACTCGGTTGTTACCAATAGTTCCAGCTCCATTAAAGAAACCCGTCATGTAAATACGTTGATGAGTCAATTGGTGATTAATTAACCATCACACATCAGCGGAAAGATCACTGTGTCGAATTTAACTCACTAAACATGACCAATTTCAAGATCAATGCTTTTTTGCGTCAAACAAGGAGACCAGTAGATGATTGAATAAGTTTTTATCGATATATTACAAAACTATAGAAAATATAAATTTGTATGACTATCTTACCATTTACTTGTTGTCGTCTTGGTTCACGAACCCAGTCAATATCTGAAATCATATATCAATATAAAGACTAGTAAGAAATCAGGACTAAGATAAAAAGGTCAATCATTTTTTGTTTATAAGAATTCTAATAATTCTTTGAGATTTTGAGTATCGTCGAAGCTATCATTCCTTTTAATTGTGTGCGGACTTCAGTTTTCAGTTTGGAAAACTATGTGTGACTGTGTGTGTGTTTTAAATCAGCTTGAATTTAACTGAATAAATTCTGATTACTACTATTGCGTTTGCAATACTAAAAAACTATTTACGGAGACAACAGAAGGTTGCTTGTCCCCCTCTTTATTTTGTTTTCAAACAAGGTATGTTCCAAGTTAGCATTTGGAATGCGATAGGGGCTAATAAAATTAAATGATACAAAATAGGAATAATTAAATACTGAATAATTTAATAGTACCCCAAGGGATAACTTAAATAATGGACAATTCAACAGTACCCCAGTGAACAAGTGCAAAGTCAAAACTCGGAAATAATATATTAATATTAAACCACCTCGGAATTCGAAAAAATGGGATCTGTATTGGCGTCTTGTTTTCAATGTTATGTCTTCAAAACTATAAAATAACTTATTACGTACATGTTGGTCCTATCGGGTATGAAAAACATGTAAACACACAGCCATTATCACAGCAACGACCTTCCGATTTTCCACAATCTGTATCCTTAAAGCAAGGTGTGGCCATGCAAGCAGACGATGACGGAACTTCCTGTAATGGCGGACATTTTTCATTGTCTTGAAGTACAAATCCTGCAACAGAATCCCCTAAATAATCCTTTGACGTTTCGTAATTCTGAAAATAAATTCCGTTAAGGCTTAAATAGCAATAATTTTATAGTTCAGTCGGTTTAATAACAAATCTTGCGTGCAACTTTCAATATGACAACCAGCTACGAATGTAAGTGGGACTTTTACGGTTACTTGCAATGAGCGTCTGTCCGTTCGATAAATTAAGTTCAGTGGCAAATAATCCATGTATATTCTGGACTAGAACCAGTTATGTTATGCGAAGTTGGTCGCCGGGGATCAGACCACGACTGAGAAAAGAATATATGTAGAAAAGAAGAAATTTGCTATGCAAAAATCCACCTATCATAAATCACCCTAATGGGTTCTTCAAAGTTTATAGCACGGATACTCATCTTTGATTTACATTTTGATATATAGTTAAATATCGAAGCCACCAAACAGTTAAATCTAAGCCATTGGTTATTTTCGGTTGCTGTAGGTAAACTTGTTTACCTGATGCTAAATGATACAGATTTTTATCAACGGAATTTGTGTCAAAAAGAATGACTGTTCTATTCCTTTGGTGGTGACTGTTTACCTTTTTGATGTTTTCTTTGGAATGTTCTTTCCAGATGTTTCCAAGATGAAGGTTTTAATCATTTTACAAGACCGTTGAATTGTTTGACCTTTATCTAATTTTATTGTTTTCCTGTTTTTGATATTTGATACGTTTAAACTGATATAGCAAAAAAATAAATAAAATGATGATTTGTTTCAGACATAATTAAAACAAAAACAATGCTAAATACTTAATAATATAGTTATAGTTCATAGTTTAACTTTTTCTTGATCCTCACACAAATATGTTTTATTGTCCCGATAAAAAGCCGGATTATTTCGTATCTATCTTGTTATATATCAGTATGTATGGTCGGATTATGTTTCTGTGTGTAAGAGAGAGTTGTTCCCCTTTTGCCAGTATTTTGTATTCTTGTTTGTGACGTCATCTTTGTCTGATTAAAATGTAGAAATGGAAGCAGATGTGTTTTTATCTGTCCGTATAAATAATCGCCTCCATCCTTGCTACCAGAGCTATTCCCCAAGTCTGTAACATGGTGGAGACCCTAAACGATCGATGGATAACGACGTATACATTTTTTTTGGAGTTTTAATTTTTATGGATTTTGGACATTTTTACCTATGAAGTTGACCGACCGTTCCTGATGGATCCTGATATGCCGCCATGATGCTGAACACTTTTAATTGTTTTTGAAAATTTATAGCTGAACGTTTATTATAATACCAAAATTTAAATGGATTTTTGGAATGAAGAACAGACCATGTCTCGTCTCGTGTACTGTCTTTGTGATTTATTATAATGAATGTCTACATGTATACCGTTTTCAACCAGAAAGCACGTGAGATTTATCTCATTGTATCATACATTATTTAATGTCCGTAACATTTGGATCCTGTTTACATATATGCTATTTTGATTTGACATTAGTCAATTTGCATCGGTGATAACTGTATCGCCATGCATTCTAAAGTTCCGATTTCATCAGAAGGGCCTTTTTTTTTACTGTATAACAATCTTTGTTTATCGATGATGACCCAGATTTATCCGCTGAACTACACGTGTGATCAGATGTATCTAATAATTGCGTTATGTTGACTGTATTGCTGTTGTGTTTCATTCCGCCGTAATATTTTGACTCTTATTAAACGTTATGGAATATTATGAGATTGAAGAATATCGCCATGGTTTTGAAGATTTCCAAGAAGACCTATTCATTTTAAAGAAAAGATGATAAATTTATTCTGTACGAGAACATTTTATTTCTAACTATGTTGATTTTATGAATCCAGATAATTTTCATGTTAATTTTGATCTACGTTATTTGTTTATTATGAAATTAAGCTGATGTGAATGTGTTTATCATTTAGCGGTGTGATATTTATCATAAATAAAACCTTTAATTTAAGAGTATATAAGGTCTCTGATGATACTATCAAATTTGTATTCAGCTATTTATAATGATATATCGGTTTGTCTAGTAGGAAATGCCATTAACATGTGTGTATCACTGTAAGTGTTGTGTGAAAGTAATGCGTGCATAAGGTCATCCGAGGGAGGAGTCCGGGATGCCAGACTTTCGGTTTTGCAGCGTTGATACGTTTGTTCTGAAATGGTTACTAGAGTGTCGAGAGATTAACTTTATTCATGTAAACTCTCAATTTTGGAAATAATTATAAATTGTATTTTTTTTTAAACACTTAAACATATTGACCATTGTAAAAAATTAGTATTTTTTTTGTTTTGTGGGCGGGATGTTATATATAAGTATGTATGGTCAGATTATGTTTCTGTGTGTAAGAGAGAGTTGTTCTCCTTTTGCCAGTATTTTGTATTCTTGTTTGTGACGTCATCTTTGTCTGATTAAAATGTAGAAATGGAAGCAGATGTGTTTTTATCTGTCCGTATAAATAATCGCCTCCATCCTTGCTACCAGAGCTATTCCCCAAGTCTGTAACAATCTATTCGAAAGAGTAATACTACATGACTCAAAATCTCATAATTACAGGTGGTATCATGAGAGGATTCTGACCGCGAGGAGACATGAGGGTTTTGCTGTACAAATCAAGTTTATATCAATAAAAGAAAATACAGACAGTCTGACCTTCTAGTATAAACAATTCATTCAGATAGTACGTGTTTTTATTAGGATCAACCAAACTTTTTTGTGAATATCAATAGAGAATCTTTCCAACAATAATATTTTTATGTCTTTATGAATTGAAACGGTTTCCTGACGTCTGGTTTTATATATTCTTCATACCGTTCAATGACGAAATGTAAAAGATTTTATGAGATAGTATTAATAGCTTTAGATCGTTATAACTGACTTGAAACAGGCACATACAGAGTGTTTACGCCCAACCCTTCCCCTATCCTGGGATAACTGACTTGGAACAGACACCTACAGAATGTTTACGCCCAACCCTTCCCCTATCCTGGGATAACTGACTTGGAACAGACACATACAGAATGTTTACGCCCAACCCTTCCCCTATCCTGGGATAACTGACTTGGAACAGACACATACAGAATGTTTACGCCCAACCCTTCCCCTATCCTGGGATAACTGACTTGGAACAGACACATTTACGCCCAACCCTTCCCCTATCCTGGGATAACTGACTTGGAACAGGCACATACAGAATGTTTACGCCCAACCCTTCCCCTATCCTGGGATAACTGACTTGGAACAGACACATACAGAATGTTTACGCCCAACCCTTCCCCTATCCTGGGATAACTGACTTGGAACAGGCACATACAGAATGTTTACGCCCAACCCTTCCCCTATCCTGGGATAACTGACTTGGGACAGGCACATACAGAATGTTTACGCCCAACCCTTCCCTTATCCTGGGATAACTGACTTGGAACAGGCACATACAGAATGTTTACGCCCAACCCTTCCCCTATCCTGGGATAACTGACTTGGAACAGACACATACAGAATGTTTACGCCCAACCCTTCCCCTATCCTGGGATAACTGACTTGGAACAGACACATTTACGCCCAACCCTTCCCCTATCCTGGGATAACTGACTTGGAACAGGCACATACAGAATGTTTACGCCCAACCCTTCCCCTATCCTGGGATAACTGACTTGGAACAGACACATACAGAATGTTTACGCCCAACCCTTCCCCTATCCTGGGATAACTGACTTGGAACAGGCACATACAGAATGTTTACGCCCAACCCTTCCCCTATCCTGGGATAACTGACTTGGGACAGGCACATACAGAATGTTTACGCCCAACCCTTCCCTTATCCTGGGATAACTGACTTGGAACAGGCACATACAGAATGTTTACGCCCAACCCTTCCCCTATCCTGGGATAACTGACATGGAACAGACACATACAGAATGTTTACGCCCAACCCTTCCCCTATCCTGGGGTAACTGACTTGGAACAGACACATACAGAATGTTTACGCCCAACCCTTCCCCTATCCTGGGATAACTGACTTGGAACAGGCACATACAGAATGTGTACGCCCATTCCTTCCCCTATCCTGGGGTAACTGACTTGGAACAGACACATACAGAATGTTTACGCCCAACCCTTCCCCTATCCTGGGATAACTGACTTAGAACAGGCACATACAGAATGTTTACGCCCAACCCTTCCCCTATCCTGGGATAACTGACTTGGAACAGACACTTACAGAATGTTTACGCCCAACCCTTCCCCTATCCTGGGATAACTGACTTGGAACAGGCACATACAGAATGTTTACGCCCAACCCTTCCCCTATCCTGGGATAACTGACTTGGAACAGACACATACAGAATGTTTACGCCCAACCCTTCCCCTATCCTGGGATAACTGACTTGAAACAGACACATACAGAATGTTTACGCCCAACCCTTCCCCTATCCTGGGATAACTGACTTGGAACAGACACATACAAAATGTTTACGCCCAACCTTTCCCCTATCCTGGGATAACTGACTTGGAACAGACACATACAGAATGTTTACGCCCAACCCTTCCCCTATCCTGGGACAGTGGTGTTACAGCAGTACAACATAAGAACAAACTAAAGGTTTAACGCATCCGCTCGATAAAAATAACAAAAAGAGTAAGTTTTGGTTTACTTTATGAATTAACATGCTGATAACGCTAGCTGGCTAGATATCATAGATCGAGAAAACAATTAAAAAAGATAATGTGAGATTGATAAATATATACATTTTTATAATTATCTCCTTGATATAAAGCCAGATTGAGTTTAAAATTTCTTTAACTGTGTAATGATATTGAAATCACACTTTCAAACACTAGTAATTTTTGGGGTCCTTTATTGCTTGCTGTTCGGTGTGAGCCAAGGCTCCGTGTTGAAGACCGTACTTTGACCTATAATGGTTTACTTTTATAAATTTTTACTTGGATGGAGAGTTGTATCATTGGCACTCATACCACATCTTCTTATATCTACTTATATGATCAGGACTATCTTCTTGTTATCCAAATATTTAGTGTTTTCGATGCAAAAGGAGTTTAGGTTCACGAAGGGTTAGAATTGGCCCCAAAATCTTAATATTGAATACGGGAAAATAAAATAAATATTACATATATAGTTGTTGTATTACTATTAATTTAAGAAACAGCTCTGTCATACTAATATAGTATGCTCTTTGCTTATTTTAATATGATTAAGCAATTTTTTGTCAGTACCTTCATACTAAGCGTAAACGAGGTGAAAAATGTTGACAAATATAATGCTTACCCATGTTAGGGAGCTACCATATGATTTTTATGGGGGGCTAGGATGAAATTTGAAAAAAATAGGCAGGACAGGAGTTTTGAGTAAAAAAAAGCAGTATGAGATTATTTGCAAAAAAAAAGGCAGGATGACAATTTATGTAAAAAAAAAGTCAGGATAAACTAAAAAAAAAAGGCAGGACCGAATAGAGTGAAAAATAAAAAGGCAGGACCGAATAGAGGGAAAAATAAAAAGGCAGGACAAAATTTTTCATCCTAGCCCCCCCCCATACAAATCAAATGGTAGCTCCCTTACAATGAGCATAGAGCATGACATGATAGAATGAATAAAATTCAGAACTTTTGTATGTCGAAGTGGACCTAGAAAAAACACATTCGAAAGGCAGCTATTTTGATCTCCGACGGTAGTCAAAATATAATTGACGGTTACCCGTTGTAATTTCAATTGTGTCGTCACACACGTGCACCCCATGTTCTATTGGAATTGTATCATTTATTTGATTGCAAAGCGAAAGAAGAGCGTCATATTAGAATACAAAATAACATCCTTTTTTGCATATAACATTATAAATACCTAAGTTATGATAATGACCCCTTAATTATGCATTATATGGGATGTAAAGTTTTGATTGGCGATTGCTTTACGACGCATCATCACGAAAAGGCTATATCTCGGCGAGGGGATGTAAAGTAATTTTTTGTTAAATTTTCCTTAATTTAAACAGTTTTTGGCATAATTTTCTTTGGCCGCAACCCCTGATCCAGATTTTGTTTGTATCAAGGAATTTAATATGCACCCTGGCACCTTTTGGTTACAGAATGTTTTAGATCGTACGTTACGACCAATGTTTCCCTTCAGCTTATGGGTCCGAAATTTTTGCCTTTTTTTATATTTTATGATTAAGATCAAATTCAATGCCAAATTCTTTCAAAAGTGAACATCCCGTTATCGTTCATCTGCTCTCTTATCTGCACGCTATGATAAAGTCGTTAAGAATTTCAGATTTTAAAATGATATAGGAGCTTTACGATTTCACTAATATTTTTATATATAAGTCGCGTACTTGTGATGATTACATGTAGGTAGACACATTTTTAAAAGGGTTCTTCCCTTTACTATTTAATGAGAGTAAAATGCAACTGCTCTCAAAATTAGAATGTAGATCGCACAGAATGTTAGATACTCTATCTACAATTTAACAGAAACTTATGTTTATATCTCCGTGATGATGCTTTAAAGGTTGAACGATATTAGTAGGAGGCAGATCATTAGAAAAGAAGTGAATTTAGTATCTTTGATGTTATCTACAAATGAAATGAAATGTTGAAATTAATCAGGAAAAATGTGTTTTGATTTATTTTTGTAGCACTCATTGTAAAATAATGATCTGCTCGCGCTGTGATATTATAAAAAGAATGATGCAACGACTGCATAAAAAGTGCTGACACGAGAAACGGATTTCTTTGAAGTTAATGCGTTATGTCATAGTTGAAAAGATACGAAAAATTTACCGAGAAACAAGAATTTTTGTGGTTTAAGAGGATCGGAACAAAACAGGTTTTTTCGAATAGAAGCAAACAATAAATCGACCATTCCTCTATTAGATTCTACAAAGTAGGTCGACCGGGATGAAGAATTGGAAATGATAAAACAGAGTTAATTGTTAGATAGGAGTAGGGAATATGTCCTTGCAACACACCACCTACGGATCCCTCAACATTTTTTGAGAGGGGTTTTTAGCGAAGCACATTCTATACACGAAGCATCGAATTTAATGTCCCATTCCGATAGGACGTGGTTGGGTATTTATGCATCCTGCACTTTTAAACGTAGGCCTCTCTTTAGAATTGATTTACTACAAAATCAAGTCCAGAAGACCATATTTTTGTACCTCAGTCAACTCTTGGGGCGTCGAATTAAATGAAATAAATGTATAAGTTAAGTTTTGTAATTCAACTCAAATATTCTTTGGGTCATCTGTTCGAGTTACATGTTGTAACAGTTGTTGGTTTTTTTTAAGGATGTTCTGGTGGTTTTGCAAAACAATTTGTAAACTAAATTAAATATTTTCAAATTGCAAGAATAGAAGAAAGTTTAGCCCAAATCAAAATGATGTATTGTTCTTCTGATTTTGTATGTTAACCATATTGATAATCTAACGTTATTACAATGTTATCCCTCTACTGAATTCACAAACAGTTATTTTTTTTTTTTAAAGTCTTAACATATACTGTGAAAACAATTATACCTTCAAAAGATGGGACACTAAGAAATAATAAGTTATCACTATGTTTATAATGGGATTAAGACGAAAAGACAAACAGCTGTTACAGTTTACACTACACAGACAGCTAAAGACTGGGTAACACGTCCCCACCAAAAAATAGGGTGATCCCAGGTGATAGAACGGTTAAGCAGGCCCTGCTCTACAAGTGAAACCCGTCGTGTTCTTCAAATAGTTTCTTCATTTGTATTTATCGAGTACATATTTATTTTGAATTCTAAAATTTGATAAATTGAACAGATATCTTTTTAAATTTGAATCATGAATATCTTGCTCGTAAGATTGATAAGTCAAGAAAATATTATACATTTGTTATAGCCTTATTTTCTTTAATATTTTACATACTTCAACAAGCACGATTACATAACTGAGAAGTTATGAAGATGATTATCTAAATCTAATTACCATTAAAACCAATTATGTTTTGTGCATTTAACCTTTTAACTACGAGTTATTTGTATAGTCTACGCCGTGTTTAAAGTAGTCTTTTAATATATTATGTCTATTGTATCTGTGCCAAACGGATGTCGAAATGCAAAAGATGGAATTATAAAATGTTATTGCAGACTTTCAATTATTCATTGGTAATTACCAACAAAAATAGACGAAAGCACAATCGTAAGAAAATGTCTTAATTTAATGTAACTTTTTCATGATTGTATTTTTCAAAATTCGGAGTCTTATTTATTTATGAATGCATAAGAACTTAACAACCTTCTTGTTGTATGACATTCAGAACATATATATTTAATTATTGTTTAAATAGCTTATCATATTTTCAAAGTTAGTGACATTAGTGCTGGTCGTTTTATTTGCAACAATTTGTTCGATGGTAAAATCCTTTTTCTAAAATAAACATTCATATCATAACTACAGTAATTTACATTCAATTATAATTGTAATAAAAAAAACTTTTTTAGTCAGGAACCTGATTTATAGAAATTGATCCTAGTTTCTCCATGTGAAAGACTAGCTCGAAATCCCTTAACAAAGAGCTTCCGTTTGGCTGTAGGGTGTATAATATATACGAAGCCACATGTAGACGCAAAGAAGACGCTTAATCAGATGCCTCGTGTAGGGAAAGTGCCAGACTCTTTGTGTGTTAATTGAAGAGCCCTTGATACAACTCTTTGAGGATTCCGTAGGTAGGCTTGTACAAGGCTGTTGCCTTAAACAGCAATTGGGTCGACTGGAATAAAGAGCGCTTAATTTAGACTGTCAATGAAAAAAGTGTATTGTGGATAGCGACAAAGGATTTGCTCTGCAACAGGCAATCAACACAGTGGCGGATCCAGAACTTTTCATAAAGGGGGAGGGGGGGGGGGGGCTGACTGACCTAAAAGGGGGGGCTCCAGTCAGGCTTCAGTGATTTCCTATATAATCTACCAGCCCCCCCCCCCCCCCCCCCCCCCCCCCCCTCCCTGGATCCGCCTATGCAACAGATCCTTCAAATAGTTATTGCAATAGTTCTTTGGGTGTAGAGAGCGTTCTTTACGGATTGAACGTCCCCATTGGGGTGATTTACATGACTGTCACAAATTTGGAACTACAAGGCATTAAACGATATCAATAGCAGATATTTTTGAACATGTAGTTGTGGTTCTAAGAACTTTTATGCAGTCAGTTTGTTTCAATATTTATCTCTTATTTTATTTCAGGTTCCGTTGTCCTGATTTCTCACAAATATGTCACGTACATTGCCTTGTACTGTCTATTTATAATGGTGAGTTTTGATTTTGCTGTATATTGCGAATTTCAGTTCATTGTTTAATATCTGTACCGGAAATTGCAATGATGAAGAACAACAACAGAAATGTAGTTCCTCTCAAGTGTTGACTACCTTCTTGTATTTCAAGTGTTGTCTAAACTGCATTCACTTCATATTTACTTCTGGTGGTGTATCTATTTAGAAGAACTATACACCATTTAAAATTAAATGATACATTTTTTTTTTACAAAATTCATTCTTACCTCATCGTCGGAGAGCCACTTTCCATCATCATCGTCAAAATCAACATCATAGATTACTTTTCCAACAGACATTCGGAATAAGAATACAGTGACTACATTGAATGTCAACATTTTGAAAATAGGAGCCATTCTCCTTCAACTGTTACAATGATCTATATGTCAGTATGCTCCAGACAGTAGTTAACTGAAAATAACTCTTTCTTCACAAGATACATCTTTCATCGCATAAATGTTTAATTGATGGGTCAATTCGTAAAGGGGGCGAAGCATACAGTTAATCAGCTTAAACTATTGGTATACATTCGATTTATTAATGTCAATATACAACTACCTGTTAACAAATCTTTTGATATTCTCTACACGTGCATTACACGTGGGAGATAATGAAATTCTCTAATTTGCCTGAACTATCTGTAATGGGTAATACATTGTAGAATTGAAACATTAATCAATCAAATATTTTATCTTTCTTTGATTTCGTTGATGTTTTTTAACGTGTTTTTGATTAAATGACAAAATTATCTGAAAACTGATATGTTCGTTTTGGTCGTTATTAGTTTCATGGGAAGAAACTTCACGAATTACAGATTGGAAGAACTGGAAATTAAAATGAATTGCATGCATTATTTATAAATTTCAGATTTTATAAATAATAGGATATTAAGTAACTTAGGTCTGGTAATCTTTGAATGGAACAAATAAATTAAAAACATAAAGTTAACGCACATTTGCAAATTAAAACACCTTCGGAAATAACTTAAACTTTGAAGCACATTTAAAAAATGAAATATAAGATATGTGTTGGTCCCCTCTCCCCAGGGAAATGCATTATATTGGTTAGCGTTGGTTGTTGTGTGTCATTTGCATTGTTGTTATAAATCATGCGGTTGGTTTTCTCTTTTGAATTATCTCACATTTTGTCACATGGGGGCCTGTTATTACTTACTATTCGTATACAGTATGTGTTTTGCTCGGTGAAGGCCGTACGTTGACATGCAAGACTTACACAATGCATTTATTTCATTATGACGTGGGTCATTTAAAAAAAATGTCGAATCTTGAAATTACAAAATTGAAAAAAAGTTACTAATTTAAACCATGCATCCTCTTCATAACCAAATCAAAACACACAATACTTATGGAGTAACATATTAAAAGATGCAATCTTGATAATGTCATACAAAAATATATTGAAACATTTTTTGATAGGTGGTGCAATATTGTTTCTCTCCTGTTACCATGTTCAAAAGACATTTTGGGTTATTTAGGAAAGATTTCAATAAAATTTTAAGCTTGTTTTTCATTGCCAATAAAATGGTTTTCAAGAGTAAAAACGTCCATATATTTTCATTCTGTGTAATGATAGGATTATTTGTCAATTTTCCATGCTGTACTGAAAAATATACTCTAAAAATTGGTTTTCAAAGGTTATAAAAATTACCACAAGCAAGTTTAAAATTACTTTTGTCGTTTTGTTTTTGGTTACAGGGACGTACGTTAAAGATATATCAGCATACTAAGTTCTAACTTGTTACCCTTTTTGGCTATCCTCTTACCGATAGCAGTATTGCATTTTGTATATGCTTAATTGCAAAGATTAAGACGTTGTCACCTTTTAATGAGTCCAAACAACCAAACGTTTAGTTATGTGTAAAATAATATGTAATTATGCAACAAACGTGCTGTGGCAATGTTTTAGGATGCTTTTGTGCTTTTGAAATCATCACAGAATAGTTCATATTCATAGGGAGAAACAATTTAACGGTTGATCTAGTAGCGGTAACAGCATAGACATGCATTTCATGTACGCCAATTGAACTTAGTTTGTAGAAAAAATGTTGCATAGAATTATAATGAAGCTATCATTTTTCGTTAGAGTTTTCATTGACATTCTGAAATAGTTCCTTTTGCAGATATCAAGGCAATCAGAAAATATGAAAAAATAAATATTTAAAATTTGTTATCCTGACACTATACGCACATAAATTGCAGTCTTCTTTTATACCAATCAGCTTTTATGACTAGGTATAATACCTACTGTAAAATTAATTCAAACCACTGCTCTACATAGACAACATCAATGAGCGCGTAGTCGCGCTCAGCATACCACCCTAGCAATTCAACATATCGGAAAACGGGAAGTATTTGAAACGCAAACACACACACACTTATATATTATACAAGTCATTACTGTAAACCTGCTGACCAAATATTAAGTCATTCTGTTCAATACTAATGAGAAAAATGTGACAAGAAATTGTAATTTATTCAACATTGGTGACCAAGTATGAATTTAAGTCATTCTACTCAGTAGTCTCTGAGAAAAGTGTGACGAAGATATGTGTTGGACGCACGGTCGTTCAGACAATGTGTGTGCAATATAGCTCCACTTTAGAGTGGGATATACAAAACAAAATAATTTCTTTTAATGAAAGGACAAAAATGAGGAGGATGATTCAATAATACTATTTCTTTTTCAAAAATGCTTTTTAATATAAAAAAATCTAAACAAGCAAAACTGCAATGTTCTTATTATTAAGTACGCATTGAATTTGAATTAAGTAATTTTAAGTTCTACAAGTTTCATTTCATCATAATTCTTCCTTCCTTTTTAATCGTTGTTGCTTTAATTTTTCAGCTAAATCAGGGTCAGCCATTTCAGATCTTAGATGATGCCTTGGACCTGCTGGTCTTTCCGATGGCAGGACTTTTTTCTGTGGAGCTACTGGTGGTTTCCAATAATGCTTTGCACTTTTGGCACATCTAAACCCTACGTTTTGTGCTGTGTAGCTCGGTTCAAGACCCATTCTGTAATGCAGATAATATCTATTTACTGTAGGTATAATATATTAAATAAAGAAATTCAATAATAATATACAAGATCAAAATTTCAACAAATAGTAAAAGTGTTTCATTAAATATTGCTACTACGTGTAAAATGAGAATCTCCTGTAGTGATTAATTTTTGTCGTTTGGTAGCTGTCTCGTTGATGTATGCCAAATAAAACCGTTTATTCCTGGTAGACTCGGGTGATTTAATATTGCCTTTTTGTGTGAAAACTTGGTCCTCCTAGACTTATCAAGAAAACAAAGACATTTTAGGGTGAAGTTGCATTTTAAAATTGCTTCATCCCTGGCTAAACTTTTCTACACAACTCTACAAAACTTTGTACTACATCAGCTAGAAGACATAGAAGCAAGAGCGCTTGTTCCGTGAAAACATATTCAATAAGAAAATATAACGTTCAAGGTTTTGATATCTGATTTTACCTTTGAGCAACTCTGACTATGCTGTTAGCTTTACCATCCCTGGTATCCACAAAGGAGCAACCTTTGACAACATACATCCGATCTTGTACGTGTCGAGGTACTACTCTTTCATAATATCTAGTGTCTGTCCATTCCCATACATTGCCTTGCATATCATATAATCCTGAAAAAAATAGGGCTAAATAATGTTTTCATCATGCAGAATATTAAATATAATTTATGTTTGCATCGTGAAATGAAAGTATCTCTTCTGGAGTTATGAATGGTACATTCTGCGATTTTGTGTAGTATTATCCTTCAATATTTTAGATTTAATTTTATAGATCATGAAAAACACACCTTGGCTAAAAACCTTCCGTCCAAGTTTTCTTGGCTTTATTGGAATCAAATAATTCTATATTTGGTCTGGATGTTGATAATATTGACTTGTGGCTTGTACCCGATTTTGACAACTGTCGTGCAGCCACTTCTAGTTTGTTGCCAGTTTGAAATTTTATAACTCTCATTGTGTACGGAAACATCGTTTATGTATCATCCAATTGAACATAGTTTTGGACATTTACTTCATCAGACATGCTTCAGTACACACATTAAATCAATTGCGTGCAGCGACGCAGGTCCAGACCCGATATTGGTCTTGTTTATTATTTGGAGAAAATAAGAATACAAGAACCCCATTTTCTTGTTATATTTTATTATTTTTATGTTGTTTTTTTTTATATTCAGTTTTGTTTTGTACGTGATTGGTCTTCTTATATTACGTAGGACATTAAATATTAAATATGACCATAAAAGTTGCATTATGCAATTTATAAAACTTTTAATAGGGAACAGTCCTCATGAAACTATAGGAGACTATTTTTCACTGTACCATCTTTTATCTTTCAACGATATGAAAAATAATAATATTTGTTTTTGTCATACATACAATATCGATTTTTATTTGATATAATGCTTTCTTTCCCTCTAATTTTCATTAGAAGTCAATATAAGAGGTCTATGAAGTTAACTTTGTCTTTTTTTTATACATACCAAAATCATTTTGAGCAGAAAATGCATGAACAGGACTCAATCCTTCCCACTTGTCTGCTTTTGTATTTCCATTTGGAAACTTTCCCTGCAACATTAAATCGATTTGTCTGGTCAAAAGACATTGTTCTTTATAGAGATTAGTAATTCAAAGTCAATGCTTTATTGTTAATGATATGCGACGGGTACAAAATACATGTGACATAGAAGGTCAAACATTACAGAATCATAATATAATTGATAATGCAAACATTGTTCGTAATTGAAAGTAAGTTAGTGCTTCGTATTTTCAAATCAAATTACATTTCTAATAAAAAGCAATGCATTGACTGTCTATTTTGATCCCTTGGGTGAAGGCGATTGATCGAAGATAAAGTTATCCTTTCTTTATATATCATAGTTTGCAATATACCGCTGAGAAGAATTAAGAAAAAAACTGTTTAAAGTAATAACAACAATTTAAATAATGTTCTTCTTGTTCTCTTTTGAGTTATCTCCCATTTCCTATCTCAAAAATTATTGTGCGATTTGGCAAAAAGAAATTGGAAAATATCTGGTATCGTTTAAATTATTAAAATAAGATGAGACCAAAATCAAAACTGAGAGCTTAATGATTTGATTAACTTTGATACGTGTTTTTCGAGCCACAGATGAGTTTAAGATATATTCTAGTTGTTGTAGCCACTATTCCTATTTGCTATCTTCGATAGTCACAGATGAGTTTTAGATATAGTCTAGTTGTTGTAGCCACTATTCCTATCTGCTATCTTCGATAGTCACGGATGAGTTTTAGATATATTCTAGTTGTTGTAGCCACTATTCCGATCTGCTATCTTCGTTCGTGATTCTATCATGACGGAAATATTTCTTGTCATCAGGTAGCATTTCCTGGCCCATAGGGATAATGATAGCCTTTTTAGAATTTTCACCACTTTCTAACACTGCACAAAAACCTTCATATACAGTTAACTGAAGTACTTTCATTGTAATATCCAGAAATGAATTTGAAT